AGCGAATATTTATATATTTTGCAATTCCTAGCTCCCCCACGGCTAAAAATTGGTTTAAAAATATATATATATATATTTTTTTTTTTCAATTACCCTGTTAAGAACTATTAGCATTCGCTAAAACACCCACTATTAGCATTCGCTGAAATGCTCACTATAGAGAACACAAGGTCTATTAGCATTCGCTGAAAACTGTTAGCATTCGCTGAAAACTGTTTAACATTCGTTGAAACACCTATTAGCAACTATTAACATTCGCTGAAACACCCACTATATAGAACATAAGGCCTATTAGTATTCGCTGAAAACAATTTATTAGCAACTATTAGCATTCGCTGAAACACCCACTATATATAGAATATAAGGTCGTTTGCTTGCGAAAGGAATAAGAGGTAGTGCATGCGTCTTGCATGCTTTTTTTTGGCCTATAAGTAAAGGTTGTGGCAATTGAAATCGAGTCCATGATGGGGCAGGCGCGTTATCGGGGTATTTTGTCATGTTTCACAAGCTTTTTTTACTGGCAAGAAAACAAAATTATCGGCCAACTGTATCACGTTGCAAGCAGCTAATACGGGTGTTTCTCAAGAAGCTCTACAACTTTCCCGTTGACATTGCGGCTCTTAAAGGAATACTTTAACGAAATTTGAAATACACCCGTCATGTTGAAAATTAGGTTGCATATGATCCATAATATCCGTAAATGACAATCGCACGTTTGTATCTTGAGCCTGGTGGCTGTATTTTTCGTTATAAACGGCCCACTCTGGCAAGCGTTAGGAGAACAGCCAGCGGAGAGCATGTGACATCCAACGCAATCGTGACGTAGTTCGTCTCGGGACGAGCAAAGCTATGGCGAGGCTGACGTCGATAGGATGGCCTAGTCGTTCCAGCCACCGAAGCGGCTGCTTTTGTACGAAATTTTGAGTGACGGGTTAATCTTCTTTAATATTGTAGGGGGACAATAGCGACTTCTGGGACGCACAAAAGACATTCTCGGGAAGAGGGGAGTTCCTCCTTCCCCTCTTCTCTCATCGTGGCCGGAAGCGGGGGAATTGGGGGAATTGAAGCCACCGGTCGGCCATCTTACGGGTTCCGCGGAAGCGTTGTCAAGGCAGCGGTTGTCTCTGTTGTCATGTGACCTACACACGGTAACCATGGTAACTGTCCGTTGCAACCTAAGAACGAAGGGCGAGGGTAAGACGGGACGGGGAGGAGGAAGCAGACGAAACGCTAGAAAAGAGAGAGGGAAACCTCCTTCTCTCTTTAGCGTTCTGTCTGCTTCCTCCTTCCCGGCCCGTCTTACCCTCGCCCTTCGTTCCATTCCATTTAGCGCTCACCATTTTGTTCGACCGCAGCGCCCTCTCCACACATTCGGGAAGTTCAGCGGGTTCGGCGGGGTAAAACGAGAGAGAGGGCACGCGCCCAACTCCGCTAGCAGACGACAAACCGGGAGGATGCCGTTCTCCATCTTTGGGCTGTATTGGCGGGCTCTACCGAACATCGAACTCTCGCTCGTGGCTGCCGTTGTGAACTTGTGGCTACTCCAAAATCAGTCTATAGCTCTCTGTTGTTCTATTTTGCTAAATGATCAACTAGCATATCTTCTTTTCCGTTATTTAAATAGCAGTTGAGTCAGCCGGCAGTACTACCCTCAATTACTGCGAGTATTGCGGCAGGAGAGCATGTTTCATTTTTGATTTCAGACTTCCACTCATGGTCGCTAAAGGCCTACACCAGTACAAACTTTGTATAGTAAAAGAGGTACAGCAACCGGATTTACTTTTTGCCAAAGAGACCGGTCAATCTGACACAGTCTTCCCTATTTTTTTTTTATTATTTGCACGCTGTAGTTTTTTTATCTAGCATAATATTACACGACAACTGGCACACCAAAATCTGCGCATCTGCGCTTGAAAGTTCCAAAATGACGCGATTTTAAACAGAGTTGGCACACTCGGCGGAGCGGACGACATGCGGGGTGAGAGGGGGAGAGCATTTTTTTCTCTTTTACCCTCTCTGCTATGACCCTAATGGAACGTTTTACTGAAAGAGGGCGAGAGAGAAAAGGGGAAAGGGCTACCGGCGCTTTCTCCCTTTCTGGTTGTGTAGAAAGAGTGAAAGTCCCGGATGAGAGGCTTGGCCTGTGTTGGGTGTCTGCAGTGCCTTAACTTCGTTAGCACTTTCTTCTGTGTTTTAAACTCGCAAACTTAATTAGAGCTACGGGCTTCGATGGCAACAGTTCCCCGGTCATGGGGACACCATTGCTCGGTCATAGGGTGCACGAATAAAAACAGAAAGCGTCGAATACTGTCCGAGGACCTATGTAGCTTGCAAGGAATCCGGCAAGGCGAGAGCGGCTGCAATGTCGCTTTCCACATGACCCCGGTTTCAGGCGACAGTGGATTGCGTCCACAAACCGAAAAGGCGTTTCCTCAACGCCAGCCTCTCGACTGTGCTCGGAACATTTTGTGAATGGAGCGCGCACCAAACGCTGTACCGGCGATGAACATGGGGTACGCTCGCAAGGTGCGTGCGAGTTTTCTCGTGATAACTGCTGTTCGGGCTTGTAAAATTTTGTATCTGAATATATCTTAGTATTGATAATTTGCAGTGATGACTGACCCGATTTTATCATCGACAACACTTAGTTGAAGGCTCATTTCTGTCGCCGGGTGAGGCTGGAAATTTTTAGAAATGGTAGTTCTATCGGTTTTCCTGAATCGCGATCCCCTGCGTGTAAGGTGACCACCCGTCCCGCGACTCGCGGGACTGTCCCGCATTGAAGGCTCGTGTCCCGCGTCCCGCAAGGAATTCCCAAATCTTTAAAATGTCCCGTATTTCATACTGTCGTAAAATTCAATCAGCAACTCATGGTGCTGCCGAACAACGGGGCACGGGGAAGCGCGGAGGTCGCTGGTAATCGTGTGAATCGCAATGGTACGCCATTTTCTATCCAAGGATTGCGGGAAGCGACCGTCTTCCTGGCATGAGAACCGGCGCGTATGCTCTGTTGTACCTCTCCCCTTGGTGCCAAAATATTGTAAAAAAAATTGCTTTAAATATAGGATATTGTTAATATTTTCAAATCACCGAGTTACTACGAAATGGTTGCTGTGGACTTTTGTTTTTGGTGAAGACAGCCACACAAGGCAAAACAGCCTGCAACTCACAATGGTCGAAAAAGAACATAATGTTAAAAATTTGTATAGGACCATGTGGACAAAAGCAAGAGTTGACAGGAAACAATAACCCGAAAAGATTCACTGTTTCCTATTTCCATTTGATGCTCTGAGTTCTGCTGCTGTTGCTTTTTATGCTTTCAACTTCGACACATTTCGTAACATATTTTGCATAAATAATATCACTGGAAACGAAAATTATTTTAGCCTAATTGATGGAATACAATTTGCAGGTGTATAAACTGCAAAGAATATTGGATATGTTAACAGAGCCCCGGTTCGTGGTGTTCGGGTTCATAAACTTTCTCTTCCCCCCTTCCTTCCTCCCCCTTGGAGTCTTGGGAGTCCGTAACACTGTCCAGAAGGTGCGCTCCAATTTTTTTTTTTTTTACTTCTTTCTTTATAAAACTCATTTCACGCAGATGCATATTTTCTAAACTTAAAAATTAACAAAGGACTATGCGTCACTTCGTTTAGGCCAAACAATACAAAAGTGGGAGAGGAAAGGCGGTCACACCGCAGCAAAGTACTCGTATAAGGTGAAAGTTTACCACAGGGAAGATATCACAAAATTCAATAATGCCAACACCTCTTGTCGGTTTAATTTTTAAGCACAAAACCTCAACCGCATGCTCAGAACCACACACTTAAAAACAACTTGCCAAATGTAAAAAAAAAAAAAAAAAAAAAAAAAATGCATTCAATGTTTTACTTGTCGAGGAATTGCTGTGTTGAAGGAACATAATATTGTTAGCATGGGCATATTCAGACTGGTTCACCTTGCTTAAATTAAGATCCACTAAATCGTCTCTTTCCACAGGTGCATTTGATGCTGGTATGGCATGCACAAACTGTGCCACAAGAGTGAGGTGCGGAAACTCGTACTGGTACCAGTTTCCACACAACCCGCCTATTCACTCTAGAGTCTGCAGTCGCACACGTTTATGGGCTGCCTCAGCAATAATGTAGATCCAGACCCGCGATATCCGCCTCCGATCCACAGCCCCTGGCATCCACATCCAATCCGCAGTTTGCCCAATCTGATTAATTATTATCTGCATTCGCCAGTACACTGGGGATATCCGCAGATGATCCGAGGGTAACCCACAGATATGCAGGGCTCTACTTATGTGGTTTTGTATAACCACTCCCCTCTATCATGCTGTAAGCCTTGAAGGTAAGATAAGTTAATAAATATTGAAGTTATCTTCTTTGTGCAAATATACATGCCGATATTTGAGTGCATGATTTCTTTTCTGCTTGGCCCGAACACTGGCCTACAGTTTGTTTTAAACAGTGCAGTTGAGCCTCAATTTAACGAAGTCACTGGACCCACTAATTATTTCGTTAAATCAGGAACTTCGTAAAATCGAGGAAGGTAGACCTCGAGCATAGGCTGCGCGGAAAATCCGAATTTGTTCGTTAAATCGAGAAATTCGTAAAATCAGGTTTCGTAAAATCGAGGTTCAACGGTTCAGTGTGCGGGAACTATAGGGGGCGCTTTGAAAAACGCGCGCAGCGCCGCTAGTGGAGGAGCTGGCGTTCGACTGTGAGGCGCGTACAGCAGCCTGCGGCGCCTTTTCGCATGCCATGCTGTGGCGGCGGAAGCGCGCACGGATGAAACTTTTGCTTTTTGAGCCGATACGTTGAGGGTGACGTTGCATGAGTGCTGGGGCAGACCTAAGAAGGGCATTTAGCTGTTCTCCACTTCTTATATATTGAGTTTGAGTATATTATGGGTAATTTCTCTAGTTGCGGCCCAAAAAGGGGTTGGAGCAATTTTACGAAAAACAAGACGGCCGCCACCATAATTGCTCCGAGTGGGAATTTTATTTCGCTCGTCGCTGTAAACGTAGGACTGCTCGGACGATTGAATATTTGGAGGTGAGTGAGATGTTCACTAAGTTTGTGCACGAAGCGTGCCAAGTTTCATTAAGACAGCAGGTGTGAAAGTTACGTTTCTAACGAATAAAGAAATAAAGCTGTACGGGATATTCAATATTGGACCCAAAATGTTGTGCTATAGCGGGCTGTGCAAAGTGCAGATTTGGTTAAAGTAGAAGTTTGGGCTAGTTGGTATTTCATGATTAAAGATTAAAACAGCGCAAGGACACGGACAAGAACAAGAAGGTATACAAACAAGGCGCTGACTTACAGCTGAAGTTTATTCGTTCTAACAGCGAGTATAAATACTGTATTGTCACAACAAACAAACATGAATAAAAAGCTTGACCTGGATGCCACGTGCTCACTAGCCATCGCTATGCACTGTCACTGTTTGTCTAAATAGGAGCGTTCCTTATCTGATAAAGATAGTGACGGAATGCTGACACAGTTTTGCCCCAATCTTCCAATTTCCCGCGCCTCGATGATTTCCCGAGTGAGTTTGTCTTTATTTTTACTAATCACTTCACATTTGTCAAAGACGGGAGCGCAGCAACAGTCTCGGCAGTGCAGGCCAAGGTGACCTGACACAACTCTAGACACGTTATACTTGTGTTCCCGCAGCCGATCATTGAGGCATCGCCCCGTTTGCCCGACGTATCTCCTGCCACACGAGAGGGGAATAGAGTACACCACTCCCTCCACATAGTTTACGAATTGGGCATGGTGTTTTTTGGTGCAACCCTGCTTTTCTTTAGGACAGGAGTTCACTTTTCTGCACAGCCCAGATAGCTTCCCTGGAGCCGAAAAAACCACATCAACTCCAACCCTACGGCCAACTTTCTTAAGATTGTGAGATATCTTATGGAGGTATGGTAAAACAGTTACTTTTTTGTTAACCCTACGAGCCTGCCGAGTAGTTTCCTCACGTCCTTTCTTAAGTAAGCTCTCAGCAACTGTCGTCAACAGGTAAGACGGGTATCCCGCATGTCTGAGCCTTGCCGCTTGTGTGTTGAAGCTTTCTTTCACCCTGTGGGGGCAGGACTTAAACAGGGCATTTCTAAAACAGAGGTTAACAATTCCTCTTTTCACAAGTTTGGAATGCGCTGACGAAAAAGGCAAGATGGGTTTCTTTGCTCTTGGCTCATATATCCAGCACACATGGCCATGACCAAGTTGCAGGCTCAGGTCCAGAAACCTAATGGCCCCATTTACAGGTACTTCATGCGTCAGCACCAGCAGTTTCAGACACTCTTTGAACGTTGACAGGACAAACGACACAGCCGAATCAATTTCCTCATTGTCACAATCTAGGAGCACCAAATAGTCGTCTACGAATCTAAAAATTTTCCCCACCTTGGTTCCTTCTAGCTTGCCTGACAGGACTTTATCGTGGAACGCAAGAAATATATCGCTTAGTACTGGGGCTATACATGACCCTATGCACACGCCATTTCTCTGAATAAAAACACCGTCATTCCACATCGCGAACGTCTACTTGAGATAAAAAGATAAAAGTTCTAGAAAGTGACTCACGCTAAGTCCAGATTCATTCTGAAACGCCACGGTACCATGATTGTCAATACATTCTTCCACAGATGCCAACAGCTCTTTATGGGGAATCGAATAGTACAAATCTTAATGTCAATTGAGCAAGCCAACAAGCTTCGGTCTGGATGGTCTTTAAAAAAATCTATTATCTCATCAGAGTTCTTCACCCGAAAGGGATCATCAATCATTAACATATTTAGTTTTGTTTGCAAAAATGAAGCCACAGATTTTTGCCATGTCCCTTTCTCCGACACAATCACGCGTAGTGGAGAGTTAATCTTGTGTGTTTTGGCAGAAAAAAATAAATCTAAACCTAAGCATTTGCCCTTATCAATCGCTTGGCAAAGTTTATCTAGGCTCAGCTGTTTGCAAAGTCTACGTGCTTCCGTTTTCACCTTCGAAAGTGACACGTCATCCCTGCGCTTAAACGTGGCCGTTATGGCATCCGACGCTTTAGACATAAAATCCCCTTAGGCACCACTACGAAGCCTCCCTCTTTATCCGCTGGTAATAAAGACAGGGAATGTTCTTTTAAATAGGCGACAGTGCTTTTCAGCGGGACCTTGGATCCCGAGGGCTTGCAATGTGACAACACGTCCACGCCTTCAGATATACATCTGTCGACTTCAGACTCTGGAGCTCGTCCGGAAACTTGTCTCACCATCGTTAGCAGCTCAGGAGGCGATTTTCTTGGTTCGACCGCGAACTTCGGGCCCTGGCTCAGGACTCGTTCCACTTTCACTGGGAGTTCAACGTCGCCCAACTTGTGAACCAGGTTTCCCACAGCTGGTGTCGTCTCTGGGATGCTGGCTCGAAGGTGCATCAAAGTTTGATGCCACAAGAATTCAACAGTTCTGTCGATAGTGCGGGAGAACTCCCGCCACCTTGATCCTCTGCCAGACGAATCAGCTCCATCAAGTAGGCGAAGATACAGGCACTCCCTGTACAGTCGTATCTGCCGTTGATACTCCGCTCGTAGGACTCTGCATATCCTAGTTCCATGGCCCGGTGAGGGTGCCCAACCACCGAACAAGGCCCGAACCTCTGGAGGCAGGATACCCCGGCGGATGCAGAAGGCCATTGACATTAAAGATTTGTACTATTCGATTCCCCATAAAGAGCTGTTGGCATCTGTGGAAGAATGTATTGACAATCATGGTACCGTGGCGTTTCAGAATGAATCTGGACTTAGTGTGAGTCACTTTCTAGAACTTTTATCTTTTTATCTCAAGTCGACGTTCGCGATGTGGAATGACGGTGTTTTTATTCAGAGAAATGGCGTGTGCATAGGGTCATGTATAGCCCCAGTACTAAGCGATATATTTCTTGCGTTCCACGATAAAGTCCTGTCAGGCAAGCTAGAAGGAACCAAGGTGGGGAAAATTTTTAGATGTAGACGACTATTTGGTGCTCCTAGATTGTGACAATGAGGAAATTGATTCGGCTGTGTCGTTTGTCCTGTCAACGTTCAAAGAGTGTCTGAAACCGCTGGTGCTGACGCATGAAGTACCTGTAAATGGGGCCATTAGGTTTCTGGACCTGAGCCTGCAACTTGGTCATGGCCATGTGTGCTGGATATATGAGCCAAGAGCAAAGAAACCCATCTTGCCTTTTTCGTCAGCGCATTCCAAACTTGTGAAAAGAGGAATTGTTAACCTCTGTTTTAGAAATGCCCTGTTTAAGTCCTGCACCCACAGGGTGAAAGAAAGCTTCGACGCACAAGCGGCAAGGCTCAGACATGCGGGATATCCGTCTTACCTGTTGACGACAGTTGCCGAGAGCTTACTTAAGAAAGGACGTGAGGAAACTACCCAGCAGGCTCGTAGGGTTAACAAAAAAGTAACTGTTTTACCATACCTCCATAAGATATCTCACAATCTTAAGAAAGTTGGCCGTAGGGTTGGAGTTGATGTGGTTTTTTCGGCTCCAGAGAAGCTATCTGGGCTGTGCAGAAAAGTGAACTCCTGTCCTAAAAAAAAGCAGGGTTGCACCAAAAAACACCATGACCAATTCGTAGACTGTGTGGAGGGAGTAGTGTACTCTATTCCCCTCTCGTGTGGCAGGAGATACGTCGGGCAAACGAGGCGATGCCTCAATGATCGGCTGCGGGAACACAAGTATAACGTGTCTAGAGTTGTGTCAGGTCACCTTGGCCTGCACTGCCGAGACTGTTGCTGCGCTCCCGTCTTTGACAAATGTGAAGTGGTTAGTAAAAATGAAGACAAACTCACTCGGGAAATCATTGAGGCGCGGGAAATTGGAAGATTGGGGCAAAACTGTGTCAGCATTCCGTCACTATCTTTATCGGATAAGGAACACTCCTATTTAGACAAACAGTGACAGTGCATAGCGATGGCTAGTGAGCACGTGGCATCCAGGCCAAGCTTTTTATTCATGTTTGTTTGTTGTGACAATACAGTATTTATACTCGCTGTTAGAACGAATAAACTTCAGTTGTAAGTCAGCGCCTTGTTTGTCTACCTTCTTGTTCTTGTCCGTGTCCTTGCGCTATTTTAATCTTTAATGCAGATTTGGGCACACAGGTGCTTGGACTTGACAGTAACATGACACAACACTTATACAAAAAAAAAAAGGTGGCATAGGGAAACCAGGTGAAAATTTGGTATGGTCGGCATAACTCAATGGGAACCGGTTTTGACCATGAAAAGGCTGTCAAGAGAATACCACTGGTCGGGGGAGGTGGAGACTTTAGAAATAGGAAGGGACTAGTGGACTGTACTTCCAATTGAAACAACTTTACGAAAGGTGGTTCCAAAGCCGATAAAACAAAGTTTTCGGCCAACACACGGTTTGGCCGCCAAGGGCTTTTGCGGTCAGCTGTTGTGTAATAACCTGTTGTGCGAGGTGCTGATTTTCGGCGCACAGGTACTTTGACATGACCGTCACTTGGCACAACACTTATTATAACAAAAAGAGTTCGCATAGCGAAACCGGGTGGAAATTTAGTTTGGGCGGCGTAACTAAATGGGAACTGGCTTTGACCGTCAAAGGCTGTCAGATAATACCGCTCATCGTGGGAGGTGCATACTTTGCAGGTAGGAAGGGATCAGTGGACGGTACTTCCAGTTCGAACCACTTTGCGATAGGTGGCTCTAAAGCCGAAAAAAAAATTGTTGTCTACAGAACTCGGGGTGTCAGCGTTTCCACATCCAAAAGGAGGCTGATCAAGAAAGAAAGCACAACACATAAACTTCCATACTCAAACGTCGATTCTCCAGTGATTCCGAGTTTCATTGTTGTTTTCTTTAGATTTATATTTGTCACTTTTTTTTACCGTTCGAATCTTTTTTCATGAAGTACAGATTGCGTGCCATACTTGTCCGGAAATATCATCGACACGCAGGGGCGGATGCAAACATTTCCTGAGGGGGGGGGGGGGGGTTAGGTGTTGGTCAGCGTACCATACGTTTAGGGACCCCCTCCCCCTCGTTTCACGTCCTAAATTTTACACATGCAAAAATCAAGAGAGGGGTCAGGACATCCGGACCCCCCCTCTAAATCCGCCCCTGTCGACACGTACGATGGGGACGAAACTTATTTGGAGGGCATTCCTCCAACGAAATTGGCACTGCATACCCGCGAGTGTGGGATGCATTTCAGTTCGTCCCATCGGCGCCGACACATGTAGGCGTTACTGGTACGAAAACAAACGCAGAGCGCAAAGCGGCAGTGTAGAATATGTCAGCCGTGCCGACACAGTGGCAGACATGATCGGGAGACCAAATTTCTCGCGTCGTAGGGCTCGGCTCCATGGTTGTCGCTGTCCCACAAAACATCGGCAAGGTGAAAAACTGTGAAACTTTGTCTCCACGAGATATGACGCATAACTATTGAAACATTTAATGACGCAGCACAGGCTGTGAACGTGCTGTGTGCTGTGAACCCAGCGCAACCGCACCACTCCGACTTCAATGCGTACCAACGTACGCGGCATGGTTTTGGTTTCGTTTTCTCTGGGGTTCTCACTGCCTACCTTCCCTACCGGCCGCGCGGCGGCGTGCCAGTCGCGTCGCACGGAGTCTATACAAGGGATACTGAACCGAAATTTTGATCTGACAAAACAAGGCTGGACGGATAGGCGGGACGCTGCAAAACCCAAAAATATTACTCGTACAGCGATATGTCTAATGGATTGCCGAATTTTTGGAAAGAAGTGCGTGACTGAACACGGCCGACGAGATGAGGTACATCACAATTTCCATTCCCTCTCCTCCTCGCTACGTCGCGTCGAGCTGATGAATGAAGCGAGGATTAGAGAAGCGAGGCCACTTCCCCTCATTCTTAAATTCTCCCGGAGGACAAAGACGTCAAAGACCTCACTTGATTGCGCCATTCTTTTCCAAAAGTATGGTCACCCGTTCGAGATATTGATGCACGAGTGATATTTTGGAGTTTGTAGCGTCCCGTTCAACGCTTCTGCGGCCTTATTTCGCGAAATCCAAATTTCGGTTCAGTATCCCTTTAAAGGGGTACTCCGGCCGTTTTTCGAGCTACCTAAACAAATTGCATTTTCCGACTACCCGGACTTCAGCCGTCATGGTATGCTATTTATTTTCTCGAAACTCAAGATAGCAATTAAGAAAACCGTAAATGAAGATGATGCCGAAACCAGCATTCAAATTTTCGCGCGCTCTTCAGTGGTGTGACGTCACACATGGTACAAACTTTCAGGTCGTGCTATAGTCTTAAACAGAGTATGTCGAGTGTTGTTTGCGTGCTTCTCAGTGAATCAGTCACTAAACATTCTTTTCCCACCATCAAACGTCTTGTAATCAGTTGGGAACATGGCTTACTGCCCACTTTGTACCATTTCTGTCGTCACACTTCAATGTTGCCAGTGGGGGCTCCCAGTTTGAGAAACACGATGAAAACAAAATTGGAAAATTCAACAACTTCGCGAATTTTTTTTCTTTTCACGAAATACTTGGGGAACTCGTAGAGCCATGTCTATGGGTGTGTTGAGCCAATTTTGAGGCAAATCAGTGACCATGAAAAAATCACTGGAGTACCCCTTTAAAGGGATACTACAAAATTTCGGCGCCCATTTTTTGGTCTATATGTGTTCAAAAAAGCAGCATGACATCGAACATACCAATATCTTGTTAAAAAAGTCACGAAAGGGAATTTTAAAACGAATTAAACGATTAGCAAAGAGCCCCTGGTGGATGTCGCTAACGCCTCGCTTGTAATGCCCGTCTAGGAACCTTGACAGCTAGTGACGGAGGTTGTCTCGTCTTCGGCCACGACGAGAGAAGAGGGGCAGAAGGAACTCCCCTCTTCCCAAGAATGCCTTTTGTGTGTCGCAGAAGTCGCTACTGTCCCCCTACAAGATTATAGAAGATTAACCCGTCACTCAAAATTCGTACAAAAGCAGCCGCTCCGGTGGCTGGAACGACTAGGCCGTCCTCTTGACGTTAGCCTTGCCGTAGCTTTGCTCATGTTGAGACGACCTACGTCACGATTGCGTTGAATGTCACGTGGTCTCCTCTGGGCCTTCTCCGAGCGCTTGCCAGAGTGGGCCGTTTATAACAAAAAATACAGCCACCCGGCTCAAAATACAAACGTGCGATTGTCGTTTACAGATATTGTGGATCATATTCAACCTATTTTTGAACACAGCGCGAATATTTCAAATTTCGTTGAAGTATCCCTTTAAAGTAAATAACGCCGTACGGAAGCAGCATTTGTATTCATCATAGAAAAAGTCCGTCAGTGTGCTTCCTGCACAACTCTTATTATTTTGTTGCCCTGTTTTATCACGCTGACATAAAGGAAGCTCATATGTAAATGAAACTGTGCATTTGCGGCATAAAATGCTTCCCAAGATTCCATTCTTGGTGCGCCACCTGGTTCAAGATTCCGATACCTTAATCAGAACAATTTCTGTGAGAGACTTCTTCATTCGAATGGTGCTTGAAAACAGCTTGAAGTGGGAGCAAAAATAACCAAGGAACTTAAAACTTCTTGACACATCCTCATGCACAAATGTGCACACAATAAATTCAAAAGAAGGGTTAATCACATCGGTAAAGGCATGCATAGAAATTATACTTAATTGCTTGCACTAAGAAAGTGGTGTACCACTAGGCTCATTATTTTTCTCTGTACCTCTCGCACCAGTGCAGAAAAGTGTAGAGAGGTGGGCTTCCGACCTTATCTTAGTACGTACCGGAAGTACATCGCCCTACACTTTTTTTGCACGTTGTTGTCCCACAAGTTTCCGCTGCAAGGGGTCATCGACATTGGTACTGTGCTAACTGAACCCAAAGTAATTGGTCTTCGACGCTGTTAGGGGTCTTGGTCGCACAGTAGACTTTCACAAAAATTCCCCGCATGCAACACTGTACGCATTGCATTATGGGACCTGGTCGACCATGGAGGGAAGTGGCATGGTTTCAATTGCCCCATTGATGAAGTAGTGCGTCCCAGCACCGTATGAAAATAAAGTGGGCACTCATTACCATTGCACACTCTTCTTCGCGAGAGCAGCTAATGAAATGCAGGCATCCAGCGGCCGTAAGGGCCTGCCTAGGCTTAGCAAGGAGTACAAACTGTTGCGCCCCATACCTTTCTGGCGGCCTGGCTACCGCTGCAGAGTACAGCATGGCCCTCCAGGCTCACGGATAGTTTACGAAGCCTAGGACATTGAGGAGCCGATGGAACAGAACAACCGGCCGAGTGTACTTCTACGTGCCATAGTCGTCCCGCGTCTACATGTGCACAAACTCCGGCATGGAGGGCCCAAAAAACGTGCCCCGGCATTACATCCACATTGGTAGGCAAGACCTACAGTATTCTAAATTTAAGAAAAGTCCAAATTTAAAAATGAAAGCAGTGTAATTGGTCCTGACGCAATGTCGTGAAGTGAGTTTGGCTAATCAAAACCGAAAGTTAAAGGTCAACCAGTATTTCAAGATGCCTTGCGCAGCATTATGCCGATAGGATTGTTCTGTTTATAAAAACAGTCTATTGTGCTGGAAGCTCTGGTAGGATACTCTAAAAAAATATCCATAGCCACTCCAAACTAAAAATTTATTAAGTTTCATTTTAAAATTGCCCAGAGGTCAATAGAAACTTGAAATTACTGATACGCGATGTATGGGTCTTATTAAGATGCTAAAACAAGCACTGTCAATGATAAAATAGCCAGTCACGTTCCATTGCATCAGTTACTTCAGGGCCGGTGATGTGAAGTAGTTCCTCCGGGTCCCAGTGGAGTGCCTGAATTCAAAAAACAACAAAAAGTATTCAATTTTACACAAATTTCAACATAAACAACAATTAAGCCTTTTGAGCATGGTGCAGCATGTTTCAAGAAAAAAAGTTTAAGCTATGAAAATACTGTATCAAATAAAGTTACAGATCATCAAACTATTGCATGCAGCTTCACTTCTTTTTAAAAAAATTACGAAAGCTTTTCCTCAAGCGTGCATAAAAATACTTATTGCATTCCAAAAGAAAATGTGTACTTGAGTGAGAGTTGCAGTACCGTCTTAATTTCCCCAAGTTGCATACTTCACCCAAATGAAATTGTCAGAACAGTGAATCTAGTGAAGGTATTCCACTCAATTAGTCATATATTAAAGGGACCCGCAACAAATTTCAAACTTCCGGTTGCTGTCGTCACATGTTTCTAGAATTTGGAAAACAAAACGCAAGTTGTAAAAGACAAAAATAACACTAGACTTTCTTTGACAAACCTGCGACATAGAAGTGTGTCATGCAGTGGACAAAGAACTCTTAGGATGGAGTGAGGCTGTCGTCTTTGTTAGGTGTCTCACTTTAGTGCCACTGATTTCAAACTTGGCTGGAAACTGAGCTCCCCAGAGTCTGCCAACATTGCGTTCCAGATCGGGTTGGGACCAGTGCTGCAGTCAGTTTGACTAAACAATGTGACTAACAGTAGAAAATTTGGCCATGGCTGGTGGATCTGTTGATAATACTTTCAAGTGGAAAAATGTGTAGAGTGTCTAAAAACATAACATGAGCAATTTAATTTCAAATCGTGCAAGGAAAAAAGGTCATGTCTTAGAAGCTTTTGAAAAAGAAATATATTTTGGGAAAATTCTTTCCCAGGACAAAACTGAAAACCGTTTATGCGGCATATTTGTAGTTCTCAAGTTTTTGAGTTCCAAAGACCAAAGGTGAACTTTGGGATTTTGGCAATAGTCACAGGTTGCATATTTGGGAGCACTGCCATGCTCAGCTACCTTTCGCACAACAAAGAAACTTCTGATGTACATGGTTTTGTAAACAATTGGAGCAAAATGTTCATAGAATTGTGTTCTTAAATTTTGTTTTAGTCCAGAACCTGGTTTTTTATACGATTCTACAAACGTTTGCAAGCAGCCACATTTCGAGAGGTAGTCTGGCCACCGTGGATGGAAAATGCTTTGTTTGGGCGCCAGTCTAGAAACCGTGGGTATGCCTCAGCAACACTCGACTATCAGACAATCTACCTGCACCAGCACCAAGATGGGCGGCGCCCAGAGGCCGTACTTGCAAACTTCTATACCTGGTTTGAATGATAACTTTTGTTACAATAAATTTGATGACAAATTATATATCAAATGAAAGCTTAAACCAGTGTTAGGTAAAGTACATCTAAAAAGTACTTTAGGTAAAGTACAAAGTAAATGAACGGCTACGTTCTTCAAGTAAAATAGTAACCTACACGGGGTGCAATGTACTTGAGGTAAAGTACTATAAATACGATGTACTTTGAAAGAAAAGTGCAAGTACTTTCTAACAATCTTTCATGATGCCCTTTCATTTCTCCATACAGTGTATTTTTTAAAACTGGTGTGCATGACACCAAGGGTCATCGGGGGTGCATGAGTCATCTTTGGAAATGGCGGCAAATATTGGATAAAGTCAAGTGGCCAGAGTAGTTGTTTTATGCTCGCCGACAATCTATTTAACACAATCAACTTATAAGGCACTTATTTGAATTGATCTTATAGTAGCCACTACTTCACTCAGAGAAATGACCCAGATGACATCTCAAAATTCTCACGTGAAAATATGCCATTTTTTAAAAATTTTGGATAACACTGGGAAAGCTAAGGACGATGACTGAAAGAGCTTAATTTCACCGAGCTGTTCCTGGTACACATCAACTGATGAGTCGTCCGCCGAGTAGAATATCCCTCCCAGTATTTCTTCAGAGTTAACAAAGCATCATTTTGTAATACTACAAGTTTAACAACATCAAACTTAGGTAATGCACAGTCTCCTGCAATATGAAGGACCCGCTGGGAGCATCTGGCTGAGACTGTCGCTGACGGGGGTGCTGCGCACCTTCCGGGCGATTACATTGCGCCCCGTTGGGAGGACTCGCTCCAAGGAGGTGAGGCGAGGTTGGCTCACTTAAAGCACAATGCACGCGTTTCAGATTCTGGTCTTGATCTTGCGGCAAAGTGCAGTTAGTCAGTGTCATGCACGTCTATGTCTACTAATGCCACAATTGCCGCCCGAGAGAGACTGGCCTGAGCCAAAGCGATTATGGTCTCTGTTAAGATCCGTGCCATCCTTGTCACAAAAGAATGCGCTCTTCAATGCATTTTATCTTTTAAACAGAAGACTCGGGTATAACTGTAATATTTGTTTATTTGGCAGTGCCAGTTCCGAGATTTTACAACTGAAACAACTAATAAAAAAACAGTGATGACTATTTTGAGCCTTCGTGGCCATATCTCCTGGCCTGTTGTTGATGAAGTGCACTCTTCTGTTAAACCGAAACCAAAATCTGTTAGGCACGTTCAGACTGTTTGGTGCCGAGTGAGTTCCCACCCCTCAAGGCAGAATGGAATCGTCCGGAGCACACGCAGCGCCCCCGCCCGCCATAGTCCCGGCCACGCGCGCCCAGCGGGTCTTTCATGGTGCAGGAGACTGTACTTTGAAGTCGGGAGACGTGCTTTCCTCAGAAAGTACCAGAAAAAATACTTTAGGTAAAGTACAAGTACATAATCAGAGAATGTACCTCAAGTAAAGTACAAGTTTTCTAAACCTGCTTCAAGTGGTACTTTAAGTACAATGTACATACCGTAATATCCCGAGTCATCGCCCACCCCCCTACCGCCTGAAATTCATTAAAAAGGTGGGGTGGGCCATGTCTCGGTGGGTGAGCACAAACACTTGAAAAAAAGCGGAAAAAACCGCCTATTTTTCTCTGCGTATCTAGCGCTGATGCACAAGAGATACATCAAACTCAAAACTCGATTTAGTTTCATTGTTTTATAGAAAAAAAATGCTCACGAAAGAATATTGTACTATAGCGAAGTCCGTTGCTTGCATACGCGCTAGAAACACCGCCGATCTGCATGTAGCGCGAACGTTTGTTCCGTGAAAGAATGTCCCCACTATGTTCTCCTAGTTAGTAAAAAAAGAAAAGTCTACAAGAAAATAGAAAAACCGACCAGGCGCAACGAGCGAGCGAGCGAGCGAGCGAGCGAGCGGACCAAAGAAGCGACCAAGAGCAATGCTGGGAAAGCGGGAAAGCCGGCGGTCGCGTTGGCAAATACTTTGGCGTCGGGCCAAGTCGGGCGCCTTGTCAATTGCAAGCACTTGCGCAACTTTCTTGTTTGGTGCGTACATACGTGCGTCCGTGCACGGCGGGCTATCAATGCACGGTTGGGACGCTCTGCAAACGTCTGTGTAGGGCGTTCCAGCAAAGCTTTATTTACGCGTTGGCTTTGCCTAAAATATTGCACAACCGCGGTCGCGACGGGCGGGAAGAAGGAGCGGGTTCGCGGTGACCTTACTTCGGCGGAGACAGACTTTGACCTAAAACACTCCGCGGTTACATTAACTAACTCTTATTTTGTTATCTCCATCGTTTTCTTTTCGCACGGATACACGACCACTTTAGGGTCGCTCACGGAGGAAATGCGTAAACAAAAAGAAGTGTCTTTCCCTCCTTCGTTTTACTTTGTCACGGACGTCCTCCAACTGTAAGGTCCGCGGCCGCGTCATTCGGGTAGGATGAGTGTTCGCGGATCGCAGAGTCCGCGCTGGGGTATTTGAAGGGGTGGGCGATGACTCGGTGTTTTTTCGGAAATCGATATTGGCCCAAAAAATGGGGTGGGCGATGGCTCGGGGATGGGCGATGACTCGGGATATCACGGTAAACTACTACCCACACTGGCTTAAACCTATTCAAGAAATTATTGTATTCAAATAAAGTTATCTTAACGAGAAACGCCCTTGAATACGAGAAAAAACTGTAAAAGTGAAGAGTTTAACTAAAATTTTGTATAAAAAACATTTATTTAAATAAAAGTTTTTTTCAAATTGTATAAAACATTTAAAAAAATTCAGACGTAATATATGGTAATAAAACCATATTACCATGAATCATCACCAGCTCGTTTGTTCTTTAAGTATTATTGCAGTAATACTATATGGACTGGACATTAAATTTGTACAATCGAAAAGACAATATATTTCAAGTTTTATTTCAAGATGTGGAATATGGTTCTTGTCATTTGTATGTCTCTTAAATCATGGGACCTTGGCTTCAATTTACTACAGAATTAAATAATGTAAAGCTTATGCATATATGCATATTAATAAATTAAGGTTTTCTTAGACATGTCCACTTTATGAAGCAAAAAAAATGTTTTTTCAATCATCTGATGAAAACTAAAAGCTTATATACTTCTTTCCAAAAGTTTTATGCAGAATAATAAAATCCTTGGGGGAAACAAAATATGTTCCATGTGCTGACTGCCCTAGACCAAAATTGCTACCTTTTCCAACTGCCACTTCTCTATGCACACTGTGAGAAGGTAGACTTGTGTAAACGTGTCCAATTATAGTTATTCATCTTATATATATATAAAAAAAAATAATAACTTGCAAACATTAGGGAAGTACAGAATGTTTCCCTAAAAATTTTACAAAGTTTTTTTCCACCACAAGAATAAACTATGCATCGCCGAACACTCATTCTACGCCCAAAGGTAACGCCAGAGGTACGAACCACATGCCCAAGTTTCAGCATGAACTAATCAATATCTTATTAAAAAGTTAAGTGATTTTCAGAAAATTTTAATGCGAAAATGGGGCTCATTTTTGCCCGTTTTCGGTTTCTGGTGTCGCAGAGCTTTATGTGTATACGAGCTCTGTCGGCCGCCATTTTTCCGTTAAAACTTATGAGTAAGATATCAGTTCGTGCTGAAACTTTGGCATGTGGTTCGGATCTCTGGCGCTATTTTTGGGCGGATACTGAGTGTTCGGAGACTCATATTTAATTCTTACAGAAAAAAAAACCTGTAAATGCTTTGGGGGGACACCTTGTACATACAATTACATAATATGCCTGGTAACGTGGTAACACAAATTAACAAGAATATTTTATGTAACCAAAAAGCGCCATTAAATTGGGTTGCATAACGTTGAGGAAACCCGTCCTCGGTTTGAGCTTTCGTCCATAAGTGGCATGATCAAATGCTCTTGACCAAACTTGGAGCATTCCATTTCCCTTTCTTCGCGTAGGGATAGTGGGCCAAGGGCACTGTGACAGCATGTGCTGAGAGCCAGGTGCACTTAGTGGCATGGGGAGACTGCTCAAGCATGAAGCCTTCTCACACAACCTTGAGTTGAAAAAAACTTGAAACGACTAGAAGTGCTGATGACTTTGTTAAGCTTTGTTAAACCTGTTGGAGTGTCCTTGATGAGCCCCCCCCCCCCCCTCAGTGGAAGCTCCAGTTGTCACCGGCGTTTGACCTGCCTTCCCTTGAAATGTATGTGCAGTAGAGAGGTGGCAGTATTTTCGTGGATAGACTGTTTTATTTATGGGTTTCATAACTCGCCAAATTTTATTTCTATTTTGTGTCAATGGCTACCAACGCTTCTTTCTTTTTTGGTGAGGTTGACGATATTCTTGGTTCACAGTCAAAATGCAGTTATGATGATTCATTTTCTTTTAATACCTTAATAAACTGCAAAATAAACAGCAATTTTCTTTGTTTCATTTGAATGCAAAAAGTTTAAGAAATAAACACGAACGCATTGAAATGTTACTAGATCAGCTAAACCATAATTTTGGATTTTAGCTTTTACTGAAACTTGGTTTTCAAATGACTACAATGTCGTTCACTTCGCGGGATATGAATGCACATCAATATCCTGACACAATATGAATTTTCTTTTACAAAAATAAACGAAAACACATTCTTATGAACATTTGGCGCTTTAAATAAATGTTCATAAAACCATGTAAAAGAATTTTTCATTGTGTGAAAGGTACCCAAGCCTGGCAAAGCTCCAAAAGGCAAAGAATTTCACAAGGTTTTGAAACATGACCCCTTTTTCCTGCCCAATTTGAAATCAAGTTGCACACGTTAGCAGGGTCTTCTGATCTCAGTACCACTATTCTTCGGTGGAAAATACTTTTTCATGTCCAAATATAGCTATTCAAATCGAAGAGAACAACAAATAGTGCATTACTTATTTGATCTTAATAATTCTATGCACATTTTTCCGCGCATACTGATACTAATCTGGCCCAAACAACCTAGAAAGTATTTCAAATTTTCTAACAGAACTTCTCAATTCAAACAATAAAAACAATACACCATCATTTGCATCACAGGGCATCTACCACAACTGTGTTCCCAAACTCCCCAACTTTTCCAGCTGTGTTTGACAAGATTGCTCATCTATAATTTTGAGGAAACAAATGCTTGCTATACCATCTATATTGATGACAGAAAGCTTCTACAAGATTTGTATTTGGAGCTTTCATTGTTACGTCAGTGTTATTCTTGACCAATTCACTGATATACAGGTAGACTAAAAAAAAGTTTTGTTTTTGCCTTTGGAATATTGGTCCAAGGAAGCGTAACATTTTTCACAAATTCTCGACTCCTAGCGTATTTGCCAAATTATTTGATTGTTCTTGGTTTCCCAATTGTTGGACACCCTGGAGTGCGCATTCCAGTGGTTCCTAACACTATCCGCGTGTGTCTAATTTCCACCACCTATACCCGTGCATGTGTGTGCATTCCAACTGAGAAAACACTAACCCTTTTGGCAGGCTCCTGGCATTAGTGGCACTGGGGGTGAGAGAAATCTTTGTGCGACTAGTTGGTGTGAATCTTGAACGCAGGAAAAGAAAAGAAAAGACAAGCTCACACACACAAGTTGGCAGATAGAAGAAGACAAAGAGACACCAGAGTTACAACAGAAACAAAATACTTTTTTTTTTTGCTCTCTCAGTTTTTTTAGTTGTTGAGAAAAGAACAGCACAGAGACCATAGCTGTTAAGACATGTGAATGAAGATTGCCTTGTTTTGAGAAGATCAGCAGAGACAGTACAAGAACTGCACTTTTAACTGAGTAACATGAAATTTTGATGCAGTACATAGACTGGTATGAATTTTGAGTTTGTATCTGAAAGTGGAAACCTGTAGTCAATTTTACAACATTACAATAGGATAAAGCAACCAAACGGCATATTTTAAGAGGTTGTAGATGATGACTGCCATGAGAGGAACACAATTACAATTGCAATGACATAGAAAGAGGTGTTCAGAGCGGGATGCTAACACCTAGACACAAGTGCACATCCCCGAGAGGAGCTTTTTGTAGTATGAGCAGTCGCACAGCAACGAAAACCTCCTTGGTACTTTTGAAGAGTCACCAACTATGCTTTTGAAGAAAATTTGTAATGTCAAACTGCACAAACAGTTTTTAACAAAAACTTACTACTTTTAACACTTACTGCAGGGTAAACTATGTCATCATTTGACATAGACTGACTACCTAGTATGCAAGACAGGACAGTAGAAGGCTATCCATTGCATAGCAAAGTTTAAGTTTTTCTTAAATTTTTTTATTATTATTTTCGTGTTTTGTTGTTTATGTTGCAGGGAGGTCCTGGCCAGGCGCTTGTAAGCCCGGCGGTGTTTGCGGTCTCCGCCAATTACGCTCTGCTGTATTTAGCGGCTCTTGGATGCTCTGTATGGTAAGCTCTCGTTTGTCGCGACCTTTGGTATTAGCAGAGACGCCAGGAAATTTCAACTCCAGCTTAATTTAACATATTTTTGTACAAATTATTGATATATCAAGCTATTTTACGATCCCCTTTGAATTCAATATATCTGGGTTCGACTGTATAGCCATCTTACTCTTTGTGTTGGACCTGGTATCTTCAAGAAGTTAACACTGAAACTAAAAGGACATACACAATACCGACAGTTAAAGGGCAACTCCGCTCAATTCTGAAGATTTCGGGATAACGATAGATTTCAAATTAAAAAGCCCTAGTAAAACACACTACGTCGTTTGCTTCGTGAAAAATGGGATATATATTTTTAAATCTGATTTTAAACACGAGCGGAAATCGAAACCGAAACTTCGGCTCTGCCCGGCAACATTGGCCTCGGGTCGCCAAGTACATGGCCATCACGTGGTCAAGATGTCACGTGATCCTCGGCCCAACGACGGGCGGGATTGGGGCGGGCGTGTGGCAGGCGCGAGTGTCGTCTGCACTGCACAATTCGCCACGTTTTGGTATCTACGGCATTCGACGACATCTGCACAACTGCGGCATAAGTGTGCGCGCACGTGGTGTCCGTAGCGTGGACGAAACTCCGAGAGACAATAATCACAATCGGTGAGACGACGACGGCGGTTGTGACGCGGAAGACGGCGGTAACGGCGGGACCACGGTGGGCGGCCGGACGACTCCCAAGAAACGCACTGTGCAGGCACGTTACGCCAATCACGTGGACACTGCTGAGCACCGAGAGGCAACGTTGCTGACGTCATGCGCTACGCTCGCCCGGAGAAGTGAAAACAAGCAAAAGGGGGCCATGTAGATGGCGTTTAGTTCAATGTTGGCTCCGCCCATGCCGTAGCCTTGACTCCGCTGTTGGTTGTGCCTGAATTCGCCCGCTCAAGTCAGCCGATTTCGGCAACTTGGCAAGTGGCAAAGTTTGCCGGACCGTTTAAGAAACATTTAGACAGAACTGCGTTGTAAGGTTTCACGCGGAGTCTTCCTAGGCGATACCGAAGAGGACTGCATTGTTTTTTCAAAACCAAAAATGAAGCGGAGTTGCCCTTTAAGAGCGTCTGAACTTCGGTGACGCGATTAAGCTGCGACGTATTGGTCACAACAAGGTGCACTATACGGACACTCTCAAGTTATGGCGAGTGAAGCATTTTGTTTTTCATCACTACCTGTTAGTACTGGGTCACACAGATGTCGTGCAGCTTCACACAAAAACCAAAACAAGCGCCATGTAAGAAAAAATATTAATAAACACGCATAGAACGTGACAATTCCCACCGTGCTGATTGAAAAGCGATGTAGCTTATTTGATTTGTAAGACTTCCTGTGGCTTGCATGGTCTCCGTTACTACTGGCACCCAGATTTTAAAAAAAGCGAATGCGAACAATTTTTTTTTTTAACACACTGATGTGATGTTGCATTTTTTAGTCGTTCAGACACTCCCTACACCGTGACCACAGTTAACAAAACTAAACAAATTAAACTCAAGTCTTTGTATACATGCTACCCTAAATTTTTTTTTTTTAATTTATTAAGCAAAACATTTGTTTCTTTCTAATATCAACTACTTGGAATGAGCACATTCAAATGTTATCTGAATGTGCGCATTCAAAAACTTGTTTCAGATAATAGTGTTTGCACGATTGTAACGCGCCCCAGATTGTAACGCGGAGGTATATTTGGCGCTCAGATATTAGGAAATAACTTGATGCCGATTGTACCGCGCAGGTAAAAAAAAGGAAGGCTTAACACATACCTCATAAAACAGGTTTTATGAAACACATACAATACTAAAATAAACACCGTCCAGTAGTCGCCGTTGTCGGAGTTTCATGATGGTTCTTCGCTGTCCACAAAGGTAATCTGTGCTTTCGTCTGAAGCATTTTAGGAGCCGTGCTTTTTGCTCTTGTATGAGTGCATGACCGTCGCCTCTGGAAAGGTTGTCTTCCAAACAACTTTGCAAGCTCGTCGGGTCGCTGGGATTGCAAGGCCATGTGGTGCTGCTCCGTTGTTAACTTTTCCCGCCAGTATGATGGCCTTTCGTTTAAATAATGCCTCCTAATCAAATTTTTCTCTTACTTTTTCCATCTTAAGATGGCAGGCACGAGCCCTAGACGCGGGAGAATACGTGCGATACGAATACCAAAATATGGAATGTAAACAAATGGTCACGATGGCGATGGGGCTAGCCACCTTATACCAAGTATTGCGTTTTTCTCTTGAGTTTCGGTTTCTGGTTTCGATTGTAATGCGCTTGTATTTTTGGGCACCTATCTTGGTGAAAAAAAGTGTGTGTTACAATCGTGCAAACACGGTACTCTTCCTTTCCTATAACCAGCAGAGTTTAACCGAATTGATCATAGCGCTTCTACTATACCTACACAGCACGACTCCTCACACAGAACAATACATTTAATTATGCCGATGCATAATTTACAGTTATGCATGATTAGCCTCCATTTATATTCTTCAATGGACTTGCACCATTCTTCTTAGTCTGGGCAATATTTCCAAATGAAAACACAACGAAGGTGAATGCTAATAAAAACCCAAAAGGCCATCGAAGAAGCTTGCTGCATTTACTACTGCGTAGAAGGCGGCAGGGTCAGAAGTGCAGGCTGTGGCGCCATATGTGCCTGCATACTAGCGAGTCGAAAAGGTAATGGCACTCCTTGCCGATACCTCATAGGGGTGCGTCCAGACTTCTTTCCCAGAGAGCCGTGGATGGAGCCGAGAATGGCGCTTCCAGGACCTGCATTGAATTGAACTTTAAAAGCGCATCGATGGCCATGGCTCCAGTGCGCCAATACTTCCAAAACCAGGAGCAACACTAAATATGAGTCATGCGGCGCCTTCCGTCCAGTGAGATTTTGCAAAATTGTGGGCACCTTTACTGAGATTTGAACCCGCCAGCTAGAGATTTTTAGGCCGGCACTTAGCCTTGGGGTTTATCTGGTACAGCCTAAGGTGTGGACAGCATTTACAGGCGGTATCGTTATAGGCGGGACTGCACTGCACCGTACCAGGCTTGAGTTCCGGAGTCCTGATGTCGTCGTCGCTTTCGACGTCCATGTATGTTTTCCAGTACTCAGAGGGGATGTTGAGAATGCTTTCCATCACCTAAAGAGCAACACGCAAAAAAAAAAAAAAGAGTTTGTAGTAGACATTAGATTGAACAGGCCTAATACTCACGATTGTGCACGAGCCTGTGAGCATAAATACTGACAAGCAGATGGCTCTGGAACTTCCAACAGAGTATTCTGCGCATGGATGTCTTTATAACATCTTCCCAAGCTTCTTATTCAGAAAACATTAAAACAATTGAATGGGAATTGCATTTAGCGAGCATGTCCCTTGAAAGGTGCTAAAATTCCCCTGCCACATCAACATTACACAAAGTATTTTTTCGTTGATGTATCCTTGGTCACTACGTTCTAGAGGCTGTCAGATTCATGAACACTGGTCCTGTTGAACACCCATAAAAATACCCTTATGAACGCCCTCCCCAAGAGATGGCACATCTAATTTTTCTGGCTAATTATCTATAAGCTGCAAATTCTGAAATTTCGCCCACCCTCGATTCTCGATGAATCAATTGCGCGACTTACGAAATAGGTACATGTGAAGACCAAGCTCGGAGCAGGTTCCTGCATGTCTATCATACCAAGGAACTCGTGTTTGCCTTGTGTGCGATATCGGTTCCTGCGACACACGAGCTTGTAGCGGGGTCTCGCGTGTTTATCACACTGAAACGCGAATTCGCCTTGTCCGCGATCTACAGTATCAGTTCCCGTGCCATGTGTCTGATAGCAAGTACCTTGGTGTTTGTCGGTCATCTTTTATAAACTTTTGCTGTCTTATTTCCAAAGATCTCCCTCCCAAAATTTTTCACCATTTGTCTCTTCAGAATGGGTGGGCACTCATATTTAATTTCACGTTACGCGTTCTAATTTCCCGCTTGTTGACCTTGACCTCCCGGCCGTTACGTGCAAAAACTGCAATCCAACACCCCGTGCAACGCGTTGGGTTGCCCAGCAGTACTCTGTTTTGCTCCCTCTTTTTCACCTCCTTGCGTCGCACCACTTGCCGAAGGGGGCGTGAACTTGGACTAGGCTCAGAAGGTATTGAGGCTTCCACAACTGTCCGTTCATCTTTGTCTCTTTCTTCAGGGTGCTCGTCCGTCGCGCTTCTGCCACGTCGAGTACGCTCATTTTACTTTGCGTGGAGTTAGGAGTTCGTCAACGTGCACTGCATTGCCGGGAGGGGTGTGCACGTGGTGAGCGCGTGTCACCACGAGCATTACGTCCCACGATGTAACAACATTGTGAGACTTAATGGTAGAGTAGATTGCTGAGCTAGTTAGTGTAGATTTAGAAACAATGTAAACTATAGTGCAAAAGAGACAGAAACAAGATAGTAGGCAGTACAAAATGGTGGCATGTGATGCAACGGCATCACATGCAGAGAGATCACGGCATCACGCTACAGGGTCACATGACATGGCATCGCACCACAACGTTAAGCGGAGAAATTTCCCGGCCACGACTACCCTACGGGAAACATGTCCGGGGATCTGCAGCAAAATCTCACCAGTACCGGCAGTTTTTTAAAACAGGGTCGCGCCACCTCACCCGAGCCTGCTTCTCGGTCTCAAGGTGGACGTTTGGCACGAGGTCGATGTCCGGCATGGAGTACCCGACGACGGTGGGGCCGAACACACGTGCCAGGTTCGAGATGGGCATCTTGGTCTCCGGGGTCTCCGAAACCAGCTGAAGGTGCAACACTAGGGCGGCCAGGGTGTCCCGATTGGGCGGCGGGAGCTGGGTCACCGCCTGCCAGGTGGCCCACACGCGGTTGCCCGGATCCATCTCTGCGTAGGGGACGCCCCAGCGTGACCAGACGCTTGCCGAGGATGGAGACCACCCGTGCTTCGTTTCACCATAGCTTGACAAAGAGCGAAGGCCACGGCCCCTTTGAGCCAGTAGGAGCGACAGAGGAGAAGCATGTGACAGCCGTCCTCGAGGAACGAACCCTCTTTTGTGTGTCCTAAACATCACTTCCCTCCCCCTAGTTGATTAGCTCGTCCCTCAAAACTTGAGCAAGAGCGGCTTTTCTCTCTCTTCCGCCAGCGGCTTTGATGGCACTGCGCGCAACTAGCGAGAGAGTGCTGTCACGCATTTTTCTCCGACGCTCCGATTGGCTCACTGGGACCGGAGCCTTCGCGAAGTTGTAAAATTGAGCGTAGCTTCAAGTCTCCGACATTTAATGGCGCAAACGCTGAGGTGGCATCGAAATTTAAGGAGAACACTGCCTCTAAAGCTTTTCTTCTAAAAATTGTGATCCAGCACAAATGAATGGCTCACCTACCTTCACAATCTGACTATAAATATGTTCTTTGCTTTGATGTAGCTCAATCAGCTTTGTGAATATGGACAGTTTCATTTGTAAAGATCACGGGTAGAATTATGACAAATTCAAATACTGAAATAAAAAAATCAATGTGTCTCAGCAAACTGAAAGGACTGCAGAATCGAAAAAGGTATAAATGACAGTTATAGAATTATTTATAAGTTTTTAATTGCTTCAGAAATTTTCAATATTGTTTCTCACATAAAATACAAAAAGAATCTAAAAAAGAAAAAAAAAAAAAAGACTGACGCCATATTTAACATATTTGTACTCCTCGCTGAATACCTCACTTATACACAAAAACATGCACAGACTGATTTCACTATGCTTGCAAATCAATGTTTCAAGGTAAGAGACAAGAAGACAGGAAGGGGGGAGTCTCCTCTTGCTCGGACTGTCGTTTGTGTAACCGGGCACAGCCATTCTCCCCCTTGAAGATTAGCCCGTCGCTCAAAATTCAGAAAAAAAGTTGCTTTCCCCACCCCATTTACCCCGAAGCTGACAGTGCTGTGGAAGCTACGTGCTCCTTGGGCCAGCCACACTTTTGCCACGTGATCATGCTCTCTCGCGCCTACCGATGCGCAGAGAATGAGGTCAGGTGATAAAAGGAAGGCGGCTGATTGGTCCGGCAAGCACGTTGCTTCAACCCCAATGTTGGCTTGGGGTGAAGGGAATAAGTGAGGTCCGGTGCCGTGTGATGTGCGTTTGGCCCCAGTGACGTGCTTCGGGGGCCCGGTGACGCGCTGCGGGGTCTGCGGATGTATCACAGTGAAAAGGCAGAGAGCTTACAAAGGGAAGGGGGTACGAAATAGTCCGCTGTGCTTTCAAATTTTCGTACCGAAAGTCAGGCTTTTGACTTTCTACCTTTCTTGTTTTGGCCCACTGAACGATGTGCTATTAGTAAAATCCCCGTATAAATTGATTTATTCCAGACCAAAATTCGTTTCATGGGCCCTTCAAGAACATGATACTGTAAAAAAATGTAGAAGCGCCCACTTCATTCAGGTGCCCACTATTACATGTCCCAAAATTGGGAATTCTGCAAATTATACGTTAAGTGCCTGATTTAACCGCACAAGCGCCAATGTCTAGATTAATCCAGTTTTCAGTGCAAGCTTCCCCAGTATTTTACGGTAGGTACCTGTAAATCTTTAAAAACATAAATTAAAAAAGTGGGTGGACAGCGAAGCTGTGATATCACCTGCAATGATTGCCCACTGCACTATAGGTCCATTTTATGACAAACCCCACCAGGTAATGCTCCACCCTTTGACCACTCAAAGAACTTCCGGTTTATAAAAAGAATGAACAAAGGCCTCCTTAACACCGCTGCTTGAAATTTAGATGAAACATTTAGCCACTAATTCCCCAGGTGAATGCGAAAGGAACAAAGCAGTGGGAGATCTGTTAAAATGTTTAGAGCATTCTTGTAAACCAACTTGCCTCCTCCAAGATGTAAATCTCCAGCTTTGTTGTCCGTGTAGCATTTATGCTTTCTAGCAGTTGTGACATAAGCAAGCTCAACAAAGATAGTGTGACCGGAAGTCGCTTGGGACGCAAGCGGCAGTTCATGTTTGTAAACAGCAAAAGGGTCTATACCAAATGATTGACGAAAAACAAGTAAAAACGCTGTACCAAAACTTTTATACACAGTCGCCGACCGTTTTTTCGGACTCCGATAATTCGGACTTGTTCAATATTTCGGACCTAAGAGAGGAACCGTGACTTACCCCATGGAAATAGTGCATATTCACGACCAACGTTTCGGACAGCTTGAAGTCCGAAAGTTTGATTATTCGGACAAAATCATCCCGAACGATCAGCGGGAAACACTACCGGGAAGCGGCCATTTTGATTTTTATGTTGGCTGCAAATGAATTTACTTGATTTGGCAGCGCTACTTGTGTACTCCTGAGTCCTATCGCTATGTGACGCTATGCTAGCCCTTTTTTTTTTTTTTTTTTTTTTTTTTTCCATTTAGCTGCACGTCATCATCGTCCTCATTATCATTTTGCTTTGTTTCTTTCCATCCCTTCGCGCCTCCACCCCACTTTAGCGTCGCCAGTCACCATTTTGCGCTCGTGCATTTGCGCTTCTCTTCTCGTTCGGAGAACGCTGGCTTGGACGTCATGGCACCATTTGTTGTTCTGCCGCCGCGATGAGTCGTTAAGAAGCACAGAAAGTACTCGTTTGTAACGCTAGAAAAGAATACAGCGATTCTCAAGCTAACAGAAAGTTTCCAAACGGAAACAGAGGCGTAACCTAAAACAAAGCGTGCAGGTGTAACCTGAAGCAAGGCACTATTTACGACTTTTTTAAGCCCACTTAGAAGTAATAAAGGCAAGTTTTTCAATCTCCTTATTTTTCGGCGTGCTCTATTATTCGGACAATTTTACGATCCCTGTGAAGTTCGAATAATCGGTCGGCGACTGTATATATATATGAAAGACTGTACGGCTGCCATTGCCGCGGCGGCTAATGCAACTGCAATTTTTACCGGGAAATGCATGCTGGGAGTACTACGTGCTTATCATCTGTCACATGGTTTTAAGTCGAATTTGGGGGTTTTATGTGCTAAACCAACGATGAGCATCTGGCACGCCCCAGTGGAGGACTGGGGATTAATTTGGACCACCTGGGGATCTGTTGACGTGCAATTGAAAGCTCGATTACACGGTGCCTTCTTTGCAATAAGCGTCCATCAGATTGCCGACACCTCGGCCGGGATTCTAATCCATCACCTGGGGATTTGTAGACCGGCACTTTGCCTCGTAATTACCGAGGAGGCTTATCACATAGTTTTGACACTTGTTTTGTGGTTTTTTTACTGAAACAATGTCAAAACCACATGAAAAGAGACAAAGCGCTCGCAAACGGTCATAAGGCACGCGCATGGGTTTTCTGTAGACTATTTCGTCTTCCAACTACTGTTATGTCAACAGAAACGAAAAAAACCCGACCATTGAGTCATATACAGCTTTGCTGTAAAAATGTGGCATTTTTAGTATTTTCTAGTAGTACTTCAAAGTGCTAGCCATTTAACGTCTGGGCCATCAGTGTTTAACGTGCTATTATCATGGCGGCCCAAAACTTGACAAGGTCGTCAAAACAAGAAATGGCCTTGTGGGCGCCCATGTCCTTTACGTATTCAAGTCAAAACAAACTTGTCAGCAAAAAAGAAAACAATATTGTCTTTCTTGCTGACAAGCTTCTTTTACTGAAATAAATGCCACAAATGCCCACAATATTTCATCTTGTTTCGACAAAATTAGGTTTAGGTGGACGTTGGCTCATTAAGAAGTTTTGTCCTTCCCTTTTATCTTTTCATCAAGGAATTGTCATATCTTCCAACTTTGCCATCCTATCCCCACCACTGGCATTATATTCAGACAGAGTTCTAGCTTTCTGCAATGCATACCGTAGAATTTCGCGCATCTGCCCCCATTCCACATTAAGCATTCATTACCAAATTTGTAAGATCAGAGAAAATATGCATAGTACATTTATATGTAAAATTGATGACCGGACAAGTGCCCATTCCCCATTTCTTCGAATTCCCCGAGATATTACGAGAGAAATGTTTGTGCAATTGTGGACGTGTGGGTGAGGCCAAACAACAGTGGAACAAGACAGGACACTTACCTGCAGCCTTGACAAAGTCTCTCCAGACTGACTTGCAAATGAGGGTTTCGCGGAGGGAACGCAGGAAATCCTTCAGTACACCGCAAATGGCATGGATGTCCGCTTTGGACTGGGGGAAAAAGAAATGCCTATCACTCAAAAGCGGTGCCCTACCGATAGGAGCTCCAAGACGGCTACACAGCCACCATCAAAGCCTTATAAAACAGATAAGCGCACAACCCCAGTCAATACATTGCATGTTAGAAAGGCAGGGAGACACGTAAATTTTCAATACCAATGAAAATTTCCAAGGCCAAGGTATGCACAAGCAAAATAACCATCACACATAGGGCTTTGTGTGTGTTGATCGATCTGTTGTCTCTGCACGTTAGTTTTCTTCACATTTCTGTCTGGAGTATACCGTAATTGTGATTTTACAAAAACACTCATTCGTTCCCACTATATAGGCAAGGCCTTTACTGTTTGCCTAGCTAAACTAAAAGTGGACAAACTAGCTAAACTAAAAGTGGACAAAGTCAACAGTAATTTGTTATTTTCTTACCGTATTTACTCGAATCTAGGCCGCCGATAGTTTTTATAAAAAAAATTAAAATCAGAACTTGGAGGTCGGCCGAGAAACAAGGATGCGGTTCCCGCCTACACCACTTCGCGGCAATGCCACTACCAAAACCGAAACTGCCGTATTTATTCGTCGCCATAGAGTAGCGCCGCTTCATGTTTCAGAAGGCTTTTGGTGCACGAAAAACCACCAAAACAGCACCAAACAGTATCTGCACGACATTAAAGTTGTTTTGTGAAACAGTATACAGTGCAGTCCACTTATAACGATACCACATATAATGATGTAATACCAGTGGCGTCGCTAGGGTCAGTGGCACCCGGGGCGGTGGCCATACTGCTTTATGGTCAGTGAAATGCAAAGCCAGTGGTTCTTCTAGTGGATCAGCTTGGATCCGCTAGAAGCCGTGGGAACGCATCTCCACCGCTTAAGGGGGGACACTACCCAGAGAAAAAAAAATTCTGCAAAAAACATTGATTTTGAAAAATTACATATTTACATCCATCTACATCCAGAGAGTATTCCCAGAAATTTTCACTAGTTTACACTGCATAGTTAATTTTTAATAAATTATTTTCTGTCCACTGAAGCTAAAGAAAAGGTAGGGTTTGGAGCACTTTGAACACATTTTTCTCCGTTCAATTTTTTGGTATAAATTCCATTTTAGTCAATCTATCGTTTGATAATGGCAATACAGGGAAGGCTCGTTCTTCACTTTCCTGACTGAAATTTAATAAAAAAATGCGCCTATGGAGTTTGTTAGTCACTTTATGGATGTCTTTTATAAAAATGTTGACATTTTGTCGGAGGCACGGAGGACCAAAAAGTTGACCGATTTTGCAGAAGAGAAAATTGATAGAAATCAATGACGTTTTACAGAAAACTTTCCATAGGCACACCTCCTAGGCATTCTGCTACATATCTAGCGAATAAAAATCTTGAATATTGTGATAGTTTTCCGACGATAAATTAACTAAACAATGTAGGGGTGTTGCTGATAGAAGCTGCCCTAATTTCCTTCCCACTTAACCGACAGACCTGAAACCACCAGCCTACCCTGTAAGTTTCATTAATTTTAAGCCAAGGGTTCAAAAGTTGACCCTCCCAGGGGGTGTATTCCCTTAAGGGCACAGGGTAAGTCCTATACTCCCCATGCATTTGAGGCCATGTTGAGGAACATTTTTCTCGGTGACTATTAGGAGTATTCCTGTCATGTAAATATCATTTTGTTCGAAATATTGTGTTTTATCCACTGAACTAGAATTATTTGAACCAATCTAAAATAAGATTTTTTTTTATATTTTTTTATTCTAGTACTAAAATTTTAGTTGTTTTCATCTATTAAAAACTTCGTAACTCAAAAACTGCTTGGGGCACATTTTTAATTTTAGTTCAGTATTTTTGAACACCCATGTATGTGGTAGGAGTAAAAAATCAACCCTCTATAATGTCAGGTTAAGGAAAAAATGGTACCTATGTACTAAAAAACACTGTTTTGAGATAATTGAGTTTAAAGTAAAAAAACTGGTGAATAACGAATTTCTATTGGCACCAACAGCCTCAGAGTCATTTTTTCAATAGCCGCCAGCTTGAAAGGCATTGCTAAAGTCATGTCTTCGCCTTTAGGCTTATCGCCTTGCTTGCCGGGCCTCTTTTGTGACCTGCCATGTCGCTTGGTCCGTAAAGTATATTAGAGTGACGTCAACTTCCCTCAGCCACTTGATGGCTTTCCACACAGGGTTCTATCCACAAAACTTCAAAACATTGGCTTCTGCAATGCTGCCACCATTGAATAAAGGAACAGCATTCAATGGCGCCATTTTGTCGTTACGAAATTACAAACGATTGAATGTACACACGGTACACACCTGGGAAAAACGTGCACAGCGTCTCGTGATTGTCTTGGTTGAAAAAAAGCTATGCAATAGTTGCGAAATAATTTTTTGAGATTATCTGTTACTGGACAAGCTTTTAGGTCTTGTGTTGATTTTGTTTTGTTGGAGAATTCATCGATAAACAGGGATTGTATCCCAAAAGGAGGCGTGGTCACCTGCTACTTGCTTTCGGAAGAAGTGATTTTCAGCCCGAAATATAGCTTTCTAAAAACACTGGGACAATGGAAAAAGTGCAGAAAGAACTAAACTTTTCAAATTGCAAAAAAAACTAAAATCAAATTTTTTTTCAATTTTACCTTACCCTGTGCCCTTAAGTCAACGGTCCATGTCAGAAAGAGAATGTGTGGTATAGAACAAGGTTATATACGAATTTGAGAATCTGACCTCAGCACCCTCTCGTCTATAAACGTTGAGCCAATGCATGCAAAGTTGGGGGGATCGGTGGCCGAGTGGGCTGAAGCACACACCCAGCTCGACGCGCGTGGAGCGAAAGCTCGCGCTGCCGAACCCAGGGATTCTGGGTTCGAGCCCCACCCCTGCCCGTTTCGATCTGGATGAGCATCGTACCGGCGTGCGGTCGTGTATCACTACTGCGTGGTGCACGTTAAAGACCCCAGGCTAGCGGTTGTACCGCACTGGCTAAATTGCTCATCTACAGTGTAAACCAGTGTCGCCCCTAATGGCAGACCAACCTTACGCTGTATAAATCACTCAAACGTCCAATTTGACTTTGACTTTTTGGCATGCAAAGTTTAACGCGATTATACAGCGCCCTCTCCTGTATAGACGTTGAGCGGCTACATGCAATGTTTCATCCATGACAGAAACCCCAGCTCTTGAGTTACTACCACATCTCAGAGCCCCCTACTCCTCCCGCAGTCGTGGCCGAGTGTTTAAGGCGATGGACTAGAAATCCATTGGGGTCTCCCCGCACAGGTTCGAATCCTGTCGACTGCACAGACATTTTTTTCTTTTTATATGAGCATGGACGGACGGACGGACGGACGGACGGACAAGGTTAGACCCTAAGGAGCTTCGCCCCTAAAAGCAGTACTGCCATCTTTTGGCAGAGCCTCAAACTAATCCCTGAGCGAGCCTCGTTCATCCAAAACGGTCAAGTGCGTGAATCAGGGAAAGCAGACAAGCTATACTCATGCTCAATGGTTTCCGGACGGTTCCACATTGACGAGCTACGCTCTTCCAGAATAATTAAGGGATTAAGTATGGTTAAAGGGTTAAGGGACTATCTCCACGCTCGAAGAGGCGAGGGCCATTCTCACCAGGTTTGGGACCCCCTTGCCGCGCAGGAACTGCTCCCTGATCTCCCGCACCTCGCGCTCCGAGCCGGAGACGCGGTAGAGGCCCACTTCCGAGAGCCCCCGGCGCTCCACTTCCTGAATGCAGTGCACTACGACAGCCGGAACCATGGGTGCAGTGGGGGGCACGTGGTCTGCAACGACAGTTCCCTTCCACGTGTGAGTTCCACCCTGGGTGGGCGTCTGGGACACCTGGACGCACGGGAGGGGAACCTGGGGAAAGGAGAGACGTCCTTCGTGAGATCAAGCGGGTGCAGCGGTTAACAGTACACCAAAACTGCTTTGTTCAGATTATCGCTTTCATCTAAGTTCAACATGATCCCAATAAAAATGCATGCATTTTGAACTGGATTATTCCAAGTGTATCGGTGGCCGACCATGCTCATTACGAAAGCCAAGGTGCCGAAAACACGGGAGCCTAGACGAAGACGTGCGGGAGACCCTTGCATTCCCTTTCCTTCCATCGAAGCAAACTGGGTACTGGTAAATAGAAAACAAAGCAAGCAGGTGACTGAGGCATGGAAGGTGGACCACCGCTTCCGATGACAAGCAGCATCCACACTCAGACGCTACGCACGGTGCCCGTGGCCTGACTTTTGTCGGAATTGGGTAAAGGAAGCAAAGGAGCCGAGAAAACATCCCTCCGGAAGCCCCCAATATGGGCACGCCTGCACCATACATGCAGTACACGTGCGTCGAATGGGAGTGTTTACCGCAAGTCGCTCCAATCTGCAAGGTTGAGAAAAGGGTTCGGCCCAAGTCTGAAATCGCCAAAGAATTCAACATTCCGGCAATGACTGTTCAACACTGTCAATTATCTTGCACAACAAGCGAGACATACTGGACGGGTTCGAGAACTGCCAACTGCTTTGACCACGTTGGATTTGCTTGCGCGTGCGTGCTTGCCCAGCCACCATGTGATCTCCAGAGCTGCAACAATCTCCACAGGAGTGCGTGCAAACACGTTGGTGAAGCCACTGAGGATAACTTCGATTCGTCTGCATTTGTCGATGCAGACATTCTTATTGTTGCTCCTACCACGAATCCTGTGATCGTAGACTGTGTGTGGCCAAGGTAAAGACAAAAAAACGTCGGAGAGGCATTTATAGAAATACAGACTGCAAAGAAGCAAAACATCTTACGGCTGCTTCGGAACGAAGTGGAGTGCAGCGGCAGTGACAGTGCTATTGCGATGTGTCAAGAAACTTGAGAAGGACTGATGTCCGTAAAAAAATATCTGCAAACTCTACTTAGTTATTTCTTTTTACACCCGAGTAAAGGTGCCACGAGTTGTTCTTCACCAAGGTTTGTTTGATTAAATATATGTTTTGGGTGTTCCGCAGTGTTCCCATCCACCTTTAAAGGGACACTGACAGGGTACTTATGCATGCCAATGTTTTCATGACCTATGTAGCCCAACTACACAGAACACAATTGAGGATCGAAATTCATAGTCTTTCCACCTAAAAACCACAGGTCAAGAGTTGGCCGGTTTCAGGCGCGCTCACTCTCTTTTCCACGGACGGTCACATGTCCTTCAAACTGATGCATACCAAATAGTACATTCAAAGTCGTGGTTCGTCTAAGGCACATATTCAATATTAAAAGTAGGAAAGAATAGGAACCCTAGTTTTTGTGACATCCAAAAAGCTGCAAATACGTTGATCAAAAAAAATAGTTGCACAGATCGCACAAAGTGTCATTCTCAATGTCATTCTCAATATGGTGACGTCATGCGCGATGGCAGCGCACGACGAATCAACATTGCGATGGACGTGGGGCCGCTACTTTGGAACTGTGGTACCGGCCCATCGATCTTCAAGTACAGAAGAGCGAGGGGAAGGGATACAAGTGCAAAAAAATGTACGACGAACGGTTCAAGCGACGTCTTCATTGTCGTCATCTGTTTTGCATGCCCAAGAAGTGGAGGAACGGGAAAAAAACTGGGTCGGGAGTGATAGCCATGTGACTTCCGACAACTTTCTTCTCTGGGCTTTCGTGCACATGTTTCGGTTTCCGTTTCAAGCAGTTGCGTTTTTTTTACTTTATTAAAAATATATGTGACTCGGTAGCAAAATATTCACTTGGTAACCTTCCGACACCATACTAAATCGCCTGGCAAAAAAAAAAAAAAAACTATTGGGGGGGGGGGGGGGGGTGTTAGTGTCCCTTTAACGCTGCCGTTGCTGTTTCCCTGGCCCTCCTGCTTTTAGCGAATTACAGTAAACTTTCGTTAGTTCGACCTCGGGTAATTCGACTTTTCGTTTAATTTGATCCTGTTCAAAAGTCCCGGCGAGCGCCCATACATTTCTATGGGAGGGAAAGTTCGAAAGTTTGAACTCGGGACGACTCCGCATCGGATAATTCGTCCCGAGCGAATGCGCGCAGGCTCATATTGCACGGCACCACGGCAGAAAAACCACCAACGTACGGCGAAACATGGGCCCTTTGCTGCAAAACCGAACGTACGCAAATATGTGCCTGCTCCGCTACGCCTTTGAGATAGCCCGTAGCGAATGACACGAGCCGGCGAAACCAATCTGGCGTGGAGTAGCGCGAGACAGTGCGCGCTCTCAAAACGCTTTTTTGTAGCATCGTGAGCGATCCATCTTGCGCGCCGGAAAACGCGAATTCTCTTTTCCCTTTTTTTTTTTTTGTTGTTGTTGTTTTTGTTTTTTTCAGTCTCCGACGGTTTGGTTTTTCAGCGCCAAAGTCAGCTCGTGAAGCTTTCTCAGCGCGCGCTCTCAAAGCGCTTTTCTGTAGCATCGTGTGTGGTCCATCTTGTGCGTCGGAAAGCGCGGGTTCTCTTTTCCTTTTTTTTTTGCCATTTTTCTTTGTCGCCGACGGTCTGGCTGCTCGGCGCCAGAGTAAAACTTACCTTGTTTTTTTTTTGTTTTTTTGTACGCGATTTTTTGAGGACGTGACACTTAGTTACACTGCTCTCCGAAGCATGCTTCTGGACACACGTTTTAAGCGCAGACCATTCGTGAGTACTTTTGAACAATAGAAGGAAGTTTAATTTTAACCGTTTTTCTGTCCTTTTTTTTTTAATTTGATCATTTAGATAATTCGACCAAATTTCAAGGTCCCGTCGAGGTCGAATTAACGAAAGTTTACTCTACAGCTTATATTGAATTTTTTTTGCCGTCCTGTTGATCTCGTTATAACGAGGGACTACGGTAGATGGACACATTTGCAGCTAGCTATCCTTGAGCCTTGCTGAAGCTAAAGGAGTAAGTACCCTATTCTCCAAGTGCGAGAAGGAGCACAATGACCGAAAAGATTTGGATGCTCCGAAAACTGTTTGTGAAAAAAACTTTCAGCCCTTCCAGTCTGGTGAAGAAGGAAGAGCAATGAAGCTGTAACTTCTGTTCTCGGCGGTGGCTTTCCAGGCGAGCAATCTGCTCTTCTTTTGCAACGGAATCTGAAGCGCTCGACGCAGTGGAACGTTATGCAATAGTGGCCTCGCAGCAGTTGCGGAACCATTCACGCTGCTGCACACATTGCCACTCGTTCCATTCTTACTCTTCTGCCTCCTAAGAAACGTTGCCGCCATCTATGAGCGACGGCAGCAACCAGTTGTCTGGCTGCCAATTCAGGAAAGGTTGCCACGATCTACGAGCGACGGCGGCAAACAGACAACTGGCAAACACAACACTCTGGACAGCTGCCACCATCTATGAACCACGGCGGCAACGAGAGTGTTACGTCGACCACAGGTGTCGACATTTCTTTGGTATCGGACATGATCCTGGGGAAACTAGCCCTTAACAAGTTTGCTGTAAAACCAAAATCATGCCAACATAGTACGAGCTACACATTCGTTTTGCCCGAACCGAAGTCATACGGACAACGATGACGTAGTAACCCCCCGCACCGAAGGCTGATTCTCAGGTTTTTGTACATTGCGTTTCCAGAAGCCAAAACGACTGCAACGACCAGGACACTTGAGACTTGAGATTGCTTCACGAAGCTACTTTTTGGATTGCTCACCACGCCATGCGCGGTGAATGCTTTACAAGATGGCTCCGTCACCGTTCCGAACAAAACTAGCGCAGCTGTCTGAATCAGGCTTAACGGCGACAAAGCGCTTTGTGGGAACAGCCGCTCACCTGATTCCTGCACTCTGGGTGGCAGGTGGAGCGGCAGCGCACGCACTTGAGGGCAGTCTTGTAGAACCTGATGCGCTTTCCACAGGGTCCGCATGCCTCGGACTTGATCACCGTTTTGGACACAAAGTCGTGCACCCGCGACTGCAGCTTGCCCGCCGAGTTGGTGCGCCTAGGAGTGCTCTCCGGACCTCCAAAGCAGCGTTGCTGGCCCACGGGGGTCGTGGCGGGAGTGGCGGGGGTGGCAGGTGTGCCGGCTGCATGCACCGCAAGGGAATTGAGACGGGAGGGGTGCCAACTGCTCCTACACTTTGTTTTGCATCAGGCCCGAGCGTAGCAAATGCTACGATTCAACGGAGCCAATCAAACGGAGCCAAAAGTGCATCATTGTGACGCTTGCCATCTTTGTGCGTTTGCCATCGTCGCCAAAGCAATTGTGCGCAGAAAAAGTGCAGAATCACAGTGCATTCACTATGCGCAATTCGTCTAGCAAACGTGGAAAGCCGTGACAATGCAACTTTGGCGCCACTTGATTGATTGCACCAGACGACGGCGTCAGCTGCACTCATAGAGAGGCAAACACTGGCACGGATTGGATGCGAGTGCTGCGTCGGCGTTTGGCCGAGGATTCGCCTTCAGCCAAATGTTAACGCAGCCCTTGTGTCCACTTCGTGCCCAATTTTCGCCTCATTAGGCAACGTTGAAAATTTGGCACTATGGCCTCCTAATCTAGGTGTTGGCGGAGTGGGGTAAATTGCAAACGTCAACATTGGTGCTCCTGAAAGAAAGAATGGGAGAGAAAGCAAGAGGAAATCTGAAAAAGAGCACACAACAGTAGAGACACGTTTGTTTTGCCAGGACACATTGAAGTGGTTCTTCATGCAATGCCCGATGCTGCTTTTTTTTTTCTTTTTGCAAGAAAAAAGCGGCAAAAGGTTAGGTTCTGATCTCGCGAGCGACATAGCACTGCTGCTTTAGGTTTATTACAGCCTTGCCAGCAATCTGTGACTATCCGAACCACTGACGTCTGCCTCTATGCCCCGCCAATCTGAGGGAGCCGAAATGTATGTGAACACGGCAGATCTATTCCTCTAGATTTATTTAGGAACTCTCCGACGCTTGGAGAGGTTTGTTGGAAACAAGTGCAAGTATATGTGAAGTTTTTATTGTGGGCTGTGAAAGCTAAAGCAATCCTGATTAAGACACTGTAAGCGGCAAGTCGGATGAAGACAAAAAGCGTGGAAATCTTCTGAACAATGTCAGGCCGAAAAAGAAAATATCGGTGCAATAAAAGCTATTATCACGATGGCAAAAAAGATAAAACACATTTGTGCACAAACATACAAGTCAAAAATAGGATTGTCCCCATTCTGCAACAAAACAATGTTGCCACCCAGAAGCCCCTTTCTAGATATCACAAGAGTTGTGATGTATGCAGATTCAATTTGTCGACTCCCCGATGTTCGGAGACTTTTGAGAGCAGCTATAGCGAGTACATTTGTCCTCACTACACGACGTAGTGCCGAATGTATGGCATGCAAAGCCCAGCCTCAATGCCAATAACAAACTATCTCTATTGACTGCACCGCCTTAGACGTGGTGCATATTTTTCATACATATGTACTGCCAGCCGTGAGGCCAGGGCAGGAATGGTACAAACACATTTAATACAAACTACAAACATTTCATGAACACAGAACGGCTTAAATTTTACTCGTGAGCTGCCTGAAAATGCCTGAAACAATGCCTGAAAACAAGCGTTTGAAATTGTATGCTGACTGCCAATATGCTGATTACCCAGTGGACACTGCAAAATGCAAAAACAACACAGTGCAGGAACAAAAACATCATGACATTGTGAAGTCACACGAGACACCATGTCACATGACACGCTATACCGTCACATCACGTAAGTCAAATCACATGACACCATCGCATCACGTAACATCACGTGACATTGTGTGATATCCTGATGTCACAGTGTCACGTGACGATATCAACGGATGCCCTACAACTACAATGTCCCACGTCATTTTGGGTGGGGGGAAGAGCTCATAACGGCTATTGATGTAAAAGAAAACAAAAGGAAAACTAAGGCAACAAACTGCAATGCAAAGCAAAGTCACCTCCGGTGAGGGTAGGGGGTGTGACAGCAGCGGGAGTCGCCGAGCGAGGCAGTGGGGGAGCGCTGGGCACCGTTGATGCCGGCGGAGCGAAGAAGCGTGAGGTGGTGACAAACTCCTTGCCGTTCGTCATGGTCACCGTCGTGGTGGCTATCACGTTGGCTCGCTTCGGGTCTACTTCATCACCTTCCTGTGTCCCCTGCAACGTGAAGAGACCCCACACACTCAAAACCAAGATGCATGGCCAACAAGTGCTACACCGCACAAACTTCAAAGCAATCGTTCACAGCATCCACTCCCAATCACAGCGTTAACTGAGGGAAGACACCGACGCTACCTTCTTTAATTCCCGGGGTATGAATCGGCATGCCCCTTACAGGGTCGGAAGATTGTCGCGTTTTGCTATGGTCACAACAACAAAATTATGGTTGTTTCCAACCAGTGGAGTCATAAAAGGGGGGGGGGGGGGGCAGATTGCCTTAGGTGCAACACTCCGGGGTGTCGCGGTGGGCGACGAGTAGAGGAATGTTGCGGTAGGTGATGAGCGGGGGGAGTATCACAGAGGGCCACGACATGGGGAGTGGGGGGGGGGGGGGGGGGGGGGAGGGGCGGAGTGGGCCATTGTCTTGGCTGTTGCTGACCTCAGTGACTCCACTGTATCCAACAGCATTCCTCAGACCAGCATCTTTTAAACATCAAAGTCAGACGCTGTTCATGTGCCGACCTCAGTTTCAAACAATTTTTGTCGGGGCCCCGGAGGACTAACCAGTACCATGAACCACATACAACATTCTTATAACATGTTTTGTTCAATCAGTATCAATATCGTCAACAGAAACATTCAAATGTCTACCGTAAAATTCCGAGAGATAGCCCACCTAACATCAAGAGTAAATCGGCTGAAAATATGGAGTGGGCTAACTTTCGGTGTACAATCAAAAAAAGTTCTACGAAATTGCTATTCTTAGGTGTGTCCCTTCCAAGCTTCTTATGGTGGCGAGGGGCAACGAAGCAAAGATGACTGTACTTCCCAGTCAGTAGCGTTTGCTTATATCCCGCCCTAGCGAACTAGCCGCATTTACGCCGAGGCCATCACTGATCCTACCACTACTATTACTAGAGGTGGGCTATCTTTCGGGTGCAAGGCATCTCTCGGTATTTTACGGTAGATCTTCTCTGTCTAATATTTAAGCACTTATTCTGTATCCTAAGCCATCGGTGCTCCAGACAGTTCCGAGGTTGGAGCAATTTTTGGAGCAGAAAAAAAATCTTTTTGTAGCACTTGGTATTTGAAAATGTGGTATGCGGAGCAGCCTTGGAGCATCACATACATATCAGTTTGGAGCAGTACCATATATCAGTGACAGCGATGATTTGTGTCTAATCACTACAGTGCAATCCAATTATACCGATACAACATATAACAATGTGCTGCTTATAACGACCAGTTTTTAGAGTTTCTAGACTAGAAACACTCAGTTCCTAGTCCAGACACAGCGATAATTGGTTATAATGATTAAATTTCTTTTTTTCATTATCGTTATAAGTGGATTGCACTTACTCTGCGATGCCCACTAAAGGCCCCAACATAGCGGTCACATTGTACTAGCAAAACTGCAATGCTACGGCTGTGAAACAGTGGCACAAACTGTCAAATTAGTGTTTTGTTTCCATTAAAGCTAGTGGACAAAGGTTAGCAGCCATGAGCGTGGTAACCATCTTTATGAGTAACTCGACGTAGAGTACCAATTTAACCCTCTCTATATAATAAAGAGAAGTAAAGTGGCAGTACACAAAAATTCTCACGAGGCAAGAAAATTAAATTTTCTGCACCTCATATTTCCTAAAGACAACAGGCTATGTGACAAACATTTAATTTATGATGGCACTTCTTGACGACCTCTCACTCCTTGAATGTTCAATGTCCAATCTGCTTTTTCCCTCTAGTGATTGCGATAAAGCTGCCAGAGAAATCTGATTTAGTACACAAAAGCTTATACAATATTGATATTGTGGGTTCCCTAATGCACAGACGTTTTAACCGCACAAGAAGGCCGATCAATAATTCTCATAATTTGACACGAATAAAAGGCAACAACTCTTAACAAAAAGCAATCGTGACCGGGCATGCTAACGAAGCGGGAGCCACGTGCAAGCCCATTTTCGTGCCTGTTAATGCATGCACGCAGAGAAAAAATCAGAGTGCATTTACGCTACTGCGTAATGTGTGTACAGTGACAGCAGCTCGGATAGCACAAATTTAGCATAATTCGCGATCATGGTGGCATTGTCCTTTCTGCGCATCCTCCCAAGTGCGGATCTGAAGACTTTTACGTCATTTTGCTTCCGCTCTTGATCACACTCTCATGCCTGAACCGTACTCCTACAACTAGCCTCCTCGGCACGTCCTAACTGAGATTCGCGTTCTTCGGATCAGCTATGCTGTGGACCCGAAATCTAGCCATACGGCGTGCAAGTTTCTCTGCTCGGACGGTCGTGCGCATGCACTGACACATCGGAGAGCGTGCTCTGGCTGCGCGTGCATGTTCAAGGCGCTGAAAGTTTTTGCGAAGGACGACCACGCAATTCCACAGGGAGGTCCCCACTAACAGCTGTCGCCATAAAGAAGCACTTGCACTCCTTCATCAGTAGTGCACTCCGAAATGCCACCGAAACTGACTAAAAATGCACAGTGCTAGGGCTGTAAGATAAGAAGGTAAAACTGGAGTGAAACAATGTCTCGGAGTTGGAAACCTGAATCGAATTAGATTGTGATGGCAAAGCCCTGTTGGGATCCCCCAGTTACAAGATGAAACAAATTAGGGAGCTGGGCTAGTTGGTGGAAGTTTAACATAATGTAGGTGTAACAGCACGAAACAACTAAGACTAAGTGAACCAACACACAACACAGGAGAGCCCTCATCCTGTGTTGTGTGTTCCTTCTCTTAGTCTTCACTGTTACATGCTGTTACACCTACACCATGTTATACCAGATAAAAACAGACAGACTTCCAAAAACTAGTCCGCTTACATACAAATGCTTTGGCACAGTTTAGGGCGATTTTTCCCTTTGGGCACAGCAAGGCAAGGGTGAGTGGAAACTTAAAAAGGGGCACAAATGGCACAGCTGGATCACCCCTGCTAAACAAGATATTGGCTGCAAGTTATTTCGTATTTACATTCTCTACTTGTTATGGAGTTTTACCGCTACTTCCTCCGTTAATTACACAATCTTAGCGGGTTTTATGACTTGGAAATAACATATAACGACATCATCGAGCGGGCATCGACATCTTTAATGCTTTTTCTGCGCATCATAATCTGGGCAATTACAGTAGACTCTCATTAATTTAAACTCCAGGAAGTCACAGATTTTAGTTTGAATTATCAGAAATTCATCTAAATATGATACTAGACAACATTATGATGTTACATGGATAGCTACACATACAAAGCAGATTTTTGCCAGTTTCCTCTACATAGGCCTAATCATAAGCAAGTACAGGCATAGCACATTGGTGAAAGAACTGTGACGTTAAGTTTATTCATCCGGCAAAAGAGTTGTCGATTGTGGACTGTTTAGTCAGCACATGAGATCCCAAAACAAAATTTTCAATACCAGCCAACGCAAGTAGCTCTTTACGGGATTCTTCCTTTGCAGACAAAAACTTCCGGAGCTGAGCGATGTGCTTAAAGACCTCTGCGGCTGTGACAGTTGGCAGTGGGTCATCCCTTTCTTCATTGTCATCTTCACTCTTACTGCTGCACTGTGCTGGCATTACTTCCAGTACTATGTCCTCTAATGAGTCATCACGACAAACACGCGCATCGTCGTCAAGACTAGCATATTCTGCCAGCTCGGCGTTCACATTATGTGCTTCAAGGCCAAAAAGCATGATGCCAGTGAGCTGTTCCTCATCCTCGATGTCGTCTTGGTCATCATTGCTAGTCTTGAAGCACATAATGTGAACACCGTTTCCCGCTTATGTCTGCCCGCTTGAGCCCCGTTGAGTGCGCTTCTTTCCGAGCACCGGTGCACTGCGGAGAAGCAACACTCGCGAAAGCGAGCTCCGCAGGTATTGCTTCTCTGCGGTGCACCGGTGCTCGGAAAGAAGCGCACTCAACGGGACCGCGAGAACAAAAAAAGTATGAATTAAAGGGAAGCTACAGAGCTTCTTGAAAAAAATGAGTTAGAAGTGAATTTTTGTGTATTTTTACCCAGTGAACCCGAATACCCAAACCACTTGCTGCGCAAGTATTGTTAAACGCGAAACACAGCCAGACAGTGTATGTGACGTCATCGACGGATTTTTTGGCTGCCCAAGGCTAGGGAGGTGGGGCCTCAGTTCTATTTTGAAGTTCCTCTTATGGCTCTCCAGCACGTCACATTGAAACAGAATTGTGATATCTGTTATTCTAACGGCCAAGTGAACACAATTCAAGTGTTTTTTCTCAAATGCAAAACCGCCCTATTTTCCCTTTAAGCGAAAACGCCGTTCGAATTAAGCGGCTTATAAACACATTAAAAACATAGCAGGACAACCGAAATTTTCAAATCTGTTTGAACTAACCAGAAGTATGAAATATCCGAGTTAGAATTATCGCGAGCCTACTGTACCTGTTCACGAGCACACGAAACAAACAGGGAGGGACGACGATGACAACAACTAAGGGTGACGAACCTGAGACCTGCGCTTGCGTGCGTTGCCTCCATCTTCGAGCTGCCCCTTGCCAGAGCTGCCTTTCTCTCGCAACCTTGAGCTGCGCCGTGCGCCACCGCCGCCGTCGCTGTGGTCGTCCAAGCTTTCACGAGACACAGACAGGACCGAGCCCACAGACTCGTCGATTGTGTTCAACCTGACACCGCAGCAGCGGCAACAGAAGAAAAGCGCGAGATTACATGCGAGATAAACATTGTGCGGAGAGAAGAGAACCTGAACGACAGGGCGGGCTCATCACGAACGTTCAGAGCAGACCTATCGATTGACGCTAGGAAGAGATAGAAACATTAAAAAGCTGCATGAGCACAGCTCAGTTGGGTCCAGAAACAAGACAATACGTAACCTAAGCTGCCATCGACCTTCGATGCTAAGAAGCGCATAAACAAAGCGACGCACTCGTGCTGTGGTGCTTGGAACATGTCTCCGAACTGTGTTTACTGTGCCCTAAAAAGTGGCCCCTTCATTTCCGGAGTTGCAGCAACGGTGGCAGACATCTCTTTTGCTGCAGGGCGCTCTACGGCTCGATAGACTGGGGAGGCTTTGTCGGCCAAAATTTGAGGTGCCGCGATGACGGCAAAGCTCGCTCATATTTTTCGCCATATTCATGCCCAACCGCCAAGATTGCGATGTTCGGCGGCACGACAATCTGGCTTCTACGACGACAATTGTTGCCACGTCGGGACCACTTTTAATGTACAGTCAAATCTCGTTAATTCAAACCCTCTTAATTCAAACTTCTGGATAATTCAAACTAACATGCAGGTCCCGTCTTATGCATCTCTATGGGAGAAAACTCCCAATAATTCAAACTTTGCTTTATTCAAACAAATTTTCGGTCCCCCTCGAGTTCGAATTAACGAGATTAGACTGTATGAGTGAAATAGGATGCTAGACACATCGGTCGAAGACTTGTTCCAAGTGCGATACTCCCGCTAATTGGACCTCGGTACAGTTTTAGAAAGAATCGAAATATCCTTCTAAACTCACACCGATGCATCTTTTTAGAGCGCAGCTCTTAGGCGCCCGTTTCCGGCTTGAGCGCCGTCGAAGTCAACGTAACCAAGGTCACCCCAAGGTCACGTGACCCCCTCCCCCGAGGTCAGGTGACCCCCCCGGAGCATATTAAAGAATGAGGGGAGGAGGAGAAGGAGAAGGAGGGGTCTACCCTCCCCTCAGTACCCTTCCCCCCTCCTCCTCAAGAGCTGCGCTACAATTCGGCATTACAGGGAGTTGTAAACGGCTTTCACTTTTTTTCACCTTTTCCCTTCGTATCTTTCTCCACCCTAGGTGCATAGAGGGTGCGGCCGTAAGGACTGACACGTTTGGCACACCTCACAAAATTCGAATTCCAAACATACCGTATTTACTCGTATTTAATCCACAATGAGCATCAATATTTTGACTTTTTTTTTTTCCCTCCCGTAACCAACGCACCTCCAATTTTCGGATCCGAGAGTCTCGAATCGCGCCTAGTTTAGCAAGCCACCAAGCCAGTTTTCTTTTGCCGTTGAGCAGTCAGGCCAAGTCAAGCCAAGCCAAGCCAGGCCAGGCTACTCACGTAATGGCCGCAAGTTCGCAGTTGCGGTAGTTATGGAAGTGATCAACCGTGAAACCGAGTGTCGCGCACACTTGATGAAGCTTGGGTCGAGGAATTGCCGAGCGCCAGATATTCTTCACCTATGGGATGCACTGATGTGAACAAACAAGCCGTCGTCTGTGGTACGCTTTTGGACAGTGAAATCGTGAAAGCCATTAGGCCTAATTTCACATACTCTGGATAAATCTGTATATTTAATCCGCAACAAGACGGCACAGCGAGGTGCACGCTGTGCTGTAGGCTGAGAGTGAGAGTGTCCGGTAGCCTCTCCGTGAACGAAACTTGAAACTTAATCCAAGCGAGCAGGCTTCGGGGGTCAGCCGTTCGACTTCGTACGAGTCCTTGTCTCCGTGAGCGAAACCTGATCCATGCGAGCAGGCTTCGGCGGTCGGACTTCGTACGAGTTCTTATACATGTAATCGCGGATTATACCCGAGCGTGCCCGCCGGATACTAGCAATATTTATCGCCTAAGAACGGTTCTGTTGCTTTTCGTGCTGAGTGAGCTTCATAGGGCGCTTTTCCTTCGGCAAAAAGCACCCCGAAAGTGCCCTAAAAAGGCTTGCAATTTATAAAGCATGGTTATCGTGTCGCGCCCTTGACCAGCCAGCCAGGGTGCGCCTCCATCAGTGGAGACGTGCCACAGTACCTTGCCGTGTCATATTGGCACCTAATATGACATTTGTACGAAGTGCGTAAATGCAAAAATTTTACCCTGTGTAATGAACTAAATGAATTAAAATTTGGCAATCATGAGCAGAGGGTAAAACTAGTGAAAGCGACGTCATCTACGGAGTCTGATGACCTTTGCTTGAAACTAAGCTGGTTTGAAGATGCCGACAACGACGTTCCGATACCATTGACAGATAACGGGCGACAGAGGCTCCCAGCATGCCCTGCGGCAATCCCTGCACGTTTTTCCAAAATAAAAGCAGTTTGTTTACTTTAGCACAATTAGAGTGCAATAATCAAATTCACGGGACAAGAAAATACAAGTCTTTTCCAAACTCTCTTTTTTTTTAAGTGCTTTAGAGGCCGACCAACAGCATTGTCCTCTACTGGGCAGAAAACCGGATTCCAGTTTCCTTCTCTCCATTTCCTCTTGCACCCTTCTCTGCCCCTCTCCCCACAAGAGCGAGTCTCTGAGCTACTCGCTGCAGAAAGAAGGCTGGTCCCCTTCTTTTTCGAATGGAAAGGAAGAATTGAGGGAGAGTTTCCTCCTTTCTGGCTGCTCATTCGGAGTTGAGTAGACACTATGATTCGACGGGACTAATTGAGCAATGCCAAAAACGCAACATTGCTATGATCATCATCTTTCCTAGGTGTGCCATTACTGGCTAAAATGATCGAGCACAGGGGAAAGCGCCCCGACTTCACACTTTTAGTACGCATGTTTGTAGGTTTTCTTGCCCTTGACTGCTCTCTGACTTATGCTGAGTTGAAGTATAGCAATACTGACAAGCCCCTGGAATTGTCCCGTCCCTTATGCCCTGCTTGAGAGTGTAACTTGACATAGCCTTCCTTGCAACTGGCTGTGCCAAAAGGGGCGTTACCTGTTGTGGCCGCTGGCCTGTTGCGCGTTGGACGGCCGCAGGAATGGCAGCTTCTCCATAGTCTCGTCTCTCAGCTCCACGTCGTTCATGATGAACTCTCGGATGAGCTCGATCTGCTTCAACTGTAAGCGAAAAAGGCTAGGCCTAAACTACCGGTGCTGCTGCAAGGTGAACAAGAATCAAATCTGGGCCTGGTGTCTTCATCGCACTCATTTCTAAGCAACACGCTCAAAAGCATAGTAACAACCGAGATTGATTAAGAAACAGCAAAACACAGAATGGAAAGATAAAAGAATGTTCAGCCTTTGCACTCTCGTGAAGAAGGAAGACCAGCGGAGCTGTACTCGATACACTGTCGCAATGCACACGCGTCCGTTTCTCGCTTCTTCTTGTCCGACACGCCGCCGATCGTAAATACGTCGTCTCCAGCAAAAGAGAGTCGGTCGCACACAGCGCACGTGACGCCAAACGGGTAAAGCGCGAAACACATGTACAGTGATGTGATTGGCCTAAGCCGTTTTGGAGCACCTTTTGGAGCAGCCAAAACGGTGTTTTGGGGCAACAAAAGTGGCCTTTGGAGCAGGTAAAACAGTGTTTTGGAGCAACAAAAGTTGCTTTTGGAGCAGCCAGAACAGTGTTTCGGAGCAGCAAAAGTGGTTTTGGGAGCAGATATTCTTAGAAAAATAAAAATATTTGTTTTAAGTGCTGGACAAAGAAAGGGCACTTCACTCGCCGCAATAAACAAATTATGGTCAAGTTCAACCACCTGGGTGTCTTTCAACATGTAACTGAAATGCCAATGACATGACACATTTTGCAATGCTTCAGTTAAATTATACATATATATGTACCGTTATTGATAAATAAGAACCAAACTGCACATATTAAAATTTAATTGAAAATGACCACGTTATTAGTAAATAAGCTAGTCTATTAGTAAATATGCTAGTAGGTTGACTACCGTAGTTATATAATATAATAAATGGAAGCAGTCTCCGGCTGATGAAACACGTGACTGCTGCAGTGCAATGCGAAATTGTACACAAGACAAAGGAGCTTTTCTTTTTTCTTTTCGAAACTTTTTAGTACAAGGCTGCTGCAAGCCTCGCTTTGCCTTTGACTAGTAATGAATTCCCACTTTCAATGTCTCCAAAGAGACATTGAGACATCCCACAAGTAACAGTGCTGAAGCCGTTGCCGAGCGATTCCGAAAAACCGCTTGCCACCGTTTAACTGGTTCCCGACGTGCCAGATTTTCGTCAAAAGTAAGCAAATGTAAAACAATGGGTTGCAAGTGTCCCGGCTGGTGCCTCTGTCGTGCAGTCATGTTCGCATGCACATGAGGTTAACTTCAGCAGGCTTGCATTTGCACATGCTTCGTCGCGCGAGCGGAGATGGCTGTTCGATCGAAACAGACACCATGCCACTCCGCTCCGTCGCCAACTGGTTCCCAAAATTGTATGCAAAATGTAATTGTCCAGCATACGACAAAAAACAGTCCAGCGGCAAGTGCTTGCCAGGCCAGCAGGCGAGGTACAAGCTAAACACACAGAGAAAAAGAACCTGAGCGAGTCAGGTCAAAACAATACATCGCGAATCAGGGTCAAAAATGTACTTAGAGCGCTTTGTACAACGGCTGAAGCACTGAAGCGTCAACACACGCCCAGGTCTATCGTTGAAATTGTTTTTAAAAAGACGCGAGACGAGACCACGGTGTAGACGAGACACATGAACGACGAGCGCGTGAAACGAGAGGTGGCGCGAAAAACTATACCGGATGGACGATTGATACAGGGTACTTTTTGTTGGGCGGCCGCTTGCGCTACCTAGCTCATGCATGCTAAGTTACGGTACTCAGTTTAGTTTCGGTTTTGAAAGACGACCAAAATTGATCTTTTGGCACAGGCTTGGCGCAGTTTACCCATATTTTGGCAAAATGTAGCAGGATGTAGCAGGGTTCGCCCCTTGGCGCAGTTTGGCGCAATTGGCGCAGCAATCACATCGCTGCACGTACGACGAAACCGTCCATTTTGACGTCCGATCAGGCAATACGACGGTCGGAGGCGAGAGTTTTCAATGCTCTACGGTGCTACGAAAAGCCTCGCCCCCGAAGGTCATTCCGGCAGTTCGCACGTCAGATCGGCCGGTTTTCTCGTACATCTGTTTCGCGCTTAATCCACAAACTACCTCCAGAACCTCGCCGTCGCACCCGGGAACTGTTCAGCCGGCGCGGAGTGCTGTCGTCGCCGGGCCTCGCGCTTGCGCTTGGCCTCCGTAACATGATTGTCGTCCGTGGCATTGGCCTGCCGGTGCCCCTTACATTGCTGGTTCTGCTCTTGGCGGAGGCTTTCCAGGCAAGCGATGTGCTCTTCTTTGGCAAGGGAATCTGAAGCGCTTGATGCAGTGGAAGTCAACGCGACAGCGGCTTGGCGGGGGTTGCGAACCCATTCGCGCTGCTGCGTACGTCACCGCTCCTTCCGCAGCCAGTCTTCTTTCCCCGAAAGGGCGCGCGGCCGACCCATCCTAAGTTCAAACCGAAACTGATAAGAGCGTAGGAAGCAGCGCGCAAAACAGATGAGGACGAAGTAACACACGTGACGAGCGCTGCGCTCGTTACTGGTGCTTCTTCTTTGTAGTCGTCCGTTTTTCGCGCTGTTTCCTATGATGAATTCCCACCAACGCGCCCGACTATCCATTCTTCTATGATAGCTGGAAAGGTTGGCGCCATCTACGAGCGACGGCGGTAACCAGACTGGTTGTGTGCTTGCCGCCGTCGCTTATAGATGGCGGTAGCTGTCCAGGTAGGTTTGTGTTTACAGGCGTTTGATACCGAACACGATCCTGGGGAACCTAGCCCTTAACAGCTCCGCTGAAAAAGGGGGTACTGCCAACATCTTAGTAGACCGATTTCACCAGACGTTAGGTGGCATAGTTAAACTGGCTGGTGAGATCAGTCTGTAGACTACTCTGCAATTAAGATAATGTCTTAATTGCCCACAAAAATAAACTATGCATTGCCGAACGCTCGGTCTCCCCCAAATGTAATGCTAGCAGTCTGGATTAGATGCTAAGATTTCAGCGACTGCTGTTTTCTGATTCAAAACGTTTTTTAGAAATTTTTATTGAGAAAATTGGGGCCAATCTTGGTAGAGGGCACCACTCATACCCTGTACCCTTTGGCTACGAGGCCGCCTTTCTTTATTTGAAATTTCCAAAAATCCCTTCCAACTTTTGAATTTCATAACGGCAAGCTCTGAAACTTTGTTGTCTGGTCGAGACAGCTAGAGATTCACTTGGGTGGAGACAGAGCATTCAGCAACCCATAGCTTTTTTTTGCAGGGAAAAAACAATATTGTAATTTCTACTTTTACAGATGCCCAGTAGTTTTTGGTAGACATTTCGGTGGTTCCAACTTTGATTTTGTGTGCTCTATTTTGTGAGGAAATGCGCCACTTCTAGTAAAATTGACAACTTTCTCAGTGAAGTCATTGGTCTAAGCCATTTTGGAGCACCTCACAAAGCAGCCAAAAAACCACCTTGGAGCAGCAAAAAGAATGTTTAGAGCATAAGCACACACTTCCTTTTGATTCATATCGCTGTGATCCTTCTGTTGAGATTGGCATGGAAGCTCTGCAGCCATGAAGTTGCTCATGTTTTTCGTCCTCCCGCAGTTCCTGAGCAAGCCGGCGCGTGGGTCCCCAACTAACTGGAGTCACGATGACGGCGCGGTTTTCTTCCGGCATCCGGACGGCAATCTTCAACCTGCCAATCACTCGTCGACAGCACCGTCCTGTCCTGGTATCAAGTTCATCGAGAACCTTGTTCACACCACGTCATCAGCAGGGACATCGACAGCGGCAGCTATAAAGGAGCTCCCCTTGCGACAGCGCGGCAGTGGGCATGGAAGCTCTGCAGCCATGAAGTTGCTCATGTTTTTCGTCCTCCCGCAGTTCCTGAGCAAGCCGGCGCGTGGGTCCCCAACTAACTGGAGTCACGATGACGGCGCGGTTTTCTTCCGGCATCCGGACGGCAATCTTCAACCTGCCAATCACTCGTCGACAGCACCGTCCTGTCCTGGTATCAAGTTCATCGAGAACCTCGTTCACACCACGTCATCAGCAGGGACATCGACAGCGGCAGCTATAAAGGAGCTCCCCTTGCGACAGCGCGGCAGTGGGCATGGAAGCTCTGCAGCCATGAAGTTGCTCATGTTTTTCGTCCTCCCGCAGGTTAGTAAACAAAAACCTTGCCATTGTTTTAAATCAGACAATGTTTGCCTTGTTATGCTTCCATGCCCCGAAGCTTGTATTGAGTCTTTTAGAGTTCTGCTGCTGTTGTTGTCTGGTGATGTTGAGCGGAACCCAGGTCCCATGTCAAAACCCCAAGAAGAACAATTACTTAGCTTACAAGAAACAGTCGATAAACTTAACAACAGTCATGCTATACTTCAACAAGAAGTAAACCTTCTAAAAGAAAAACAAAAACAAAGTGAACAGACAGTTTCAACACTTGAAGAGCGACTTAACAAACTCGCTAGTGAACTCGACGCACTAAAGCAGAAGGATACTAGTAGCGCCGCGACTACTGAACCCCAGCTTACTGCTGCCTTAAACGAACTATCTCACCTAAAAACACGTTGCGATGATGCAGAGGGCAGATCCCGTCGCTGTAATCTTTTATTTTTTGGCATCACCGACGCAGACAAGGAAACGTGGGCTCAGTCAGAGTGCTTGGTCACTAGCTTGTGCTCCGAAAAACTAAACGTGCAAGTTGAATCATCTAGGATTGAAAGGGCGCACCGCCTAGGAGCATTCGACCCTCAGAAATGTCGCCCAATAATAGTAAAGTTTTCTTCGTTTAAAGATAAAGATAGCGTTCTTTCATCAGCCCACAAGCTTAAAGGAACTCGCGTAGCCATCAGCGAAGACTTCCCAATTTCTGTCCGGCTCGCACGCCGTCACCTTCTTGATTTTGCAAGGCCTAAAGGCACCCCCTACAGACTGCGTCATGATAAACTTTTTATAAATGATAAGTGCTATGTATTCGATGCCGCTCTTGGCGCCGTTAAAGAAAAAGACACATAGCCACGCCAGCGCTTCTTCTCGTCGCCCTTTAGGAGTCG